AGTTATATTTACAAAGACTGCACTTACACGGAATAGTCGCGCGGAAAGAGATTCGGCCTGGGTGCACTTTCCCCACGGCGATAGACCGCCAAATAATATTCTGAACAGGTCAAAATCTACTTTATACGCTTCATACGGCGGTTGGGTCGGATCGTAACGATCGGGTTCGGATTTTCGTTGGCTCATCAGCTCTTCTCGCACTAAACTTAACAATTCCTACACACATAGCATAATTGAGATGTTTACAAATTATATCTTATAATTTGAAATTCATACGTAAAATTACGTTGAATTACCTGCAGCTCTTCTATTTTCATATATTTATCAACAATAACGCTTCTGATTACGTTTTTCTCAATTCCATCTTCGAGGCTCTGAACTACTCTCAGCCTGTGCTTCAGGCGTAACCTTTCTATCCCGCCAATTGTTAAAGATCCATACCTCGAGTACGCTTCATAAATCAACGTTTGGACAGATATACTCTGCAATTTGAAAGTATATTTATATTATATTTAATATTAAGCATATTTATATTAAGCAGATACATGAAACAATCAGACTATATGTTGTTCTTGCCTTAATGGGTGACGCACTATCAACCGGTCTAGGAAATATTGGGCCTTCGTCGTTGTAAACACCACCGAGGTAATCTGTTAACAGTTGCATAGCTTCCCCATCATCGCGACAATTGAGTAATTTGTCTTGATTCCATTCTAACACAGTCAACGCTATCTGATAAAATAAAAAAAAGATTTATTTTAAATATCTTTGTGTCTATTATACACATATAAAACAACGAAATAATTTGATTAAATTAAATTCATTTAAATTACAAAATTAAAATAAATTTAAAATAATAAAATGAAAAATTTTGTTACAGAAAATTAATTAAAATTTATTAATATTAAATTAAATTTACTCACAATAAAAGCTTTTTATGCAATAATCTATTAAAATTTAATGAGAATTATTTTCATTGAAAGATCTTATTAATTGAAAACATTTAAAACTACGCTTGCTAATACTTGGTTTGTTACCTGAAAAATAACTTTCGCCCCGTCGTAAAAGAAACAGTCCATGATATTTACAGCACTACTGGTTGGCATGACGCTCAAGAATATAGTCAAAAACCAGGATAATGAGATAACTTTAATCAAGCCAAGCTCCTGCAACTTGGCGTGCAAAACTGGCAAATGCTCGGCTGCCAGTTCCTCCAAAAGGCCTTGGTCAACGAGAGCACCGACTACTCTCCGATCGTAGTAATCAGGCAATAATGATTCGCAAACGTTACATAACTGCCAGAACGCTGACTCCTCGGAGCAGTAGATTAGCAGAACCGAAGCCACTATATTCATTGCCTGACAATAGCCTGCAAAAACACAGAACATTTACGATCGTATTAAAAAGCATCGGTTCTTCAACACAATTAGACAATCAAAGAGTTCGGTTTATTTTAAGAAATTCGATTAACAGGAATTTCAAGTTGCCACGTTACAAAATAGAAAAATTATTAGACTTGCCGATCTGAGGATTTCGCCACGCGTAGGCAGACAGTACCCTCCGCAACGCGTTGATTCCGGTATCCGATTGGAAAGCCGGATGTTCCGGTAGCGATCTATGCAAATCTCTTTCGATTTCCTCATTCGCTTGGCACGACTTGCCGAGGGATTGTTCGACCAACGATTTGTACAGATCTGGATTCATTGCCTTCTCGTTTAAGGCACCTGATAAGAGAACGATGTATTTTACGCATTAAATCGTCAACGTCGTTCGCGGATTGTGTATCGCGATCGTTCGTAAATTACCAGAAAAGGTGAGCCAAACTTCTCCTCTGAGGGACTGCGGTATTCCTTGAATAACGAGCTTCGTAGTTTCCGTAGTCCGGTACATTGTGATCCCCCTTCCGTACTCCGCGAAATGGAGCTCCCACTGCTTCTCCTTAGCCTCTTGCTTCAACGCGGCCTCGGGGGTCAGTGGAGCCTTGAAAAGTATCATCAGCGGCGGCTGCGGCTTCCACTGTTCCGCAGGCTTCTCTTCGCAGTTGCTGACATTACCGCCCGAGGAGTTCGGCAAATACACATTGTCTCTTGTTCTGTAACAGGATCGTAATTTGTATTGTTGCATCTCGATTTTTATATATATATACACGTTAGAAAACATAACCCCCAACACTTACATATAATTGAGTTTTGACTTTGCCAGGAGCTCGGAGATTTTCTGCACCACGAAATCTCTGTCGTGTATCTGGGCGAACAGAAACGACGAACGCGCCGTTGTGACCAATATTGACTTATCCGCTCCTGCGCTGGACTGATTTTCCGCCGACTCGACGAGCGTTACTTCCCTCAGAGGTATCACCAAACTAACCTGCCTTCTCACCTGGACAGACAAGTTTTACAAATCAATTTACATTTTTGAAGTTTATTCATTTTAGAGAGAGAGAGAGAGAGAGAGAGAGAGAGACTTACCCTACTTTCGAAACAAAGATAATTTTGAGACAAGTATATCTTTCCCCAAACGTATCTTTTGCTGTACGGAGTCCACAGGGTGGCGTCAATGCTACCATCCAATTTCTCAGTTCCTGGCAACCTGAACTGGAGCCTGTACGTTTCCGAATGCGCTCGTGCGTCGAGATCCCTCTTCAGGAAAGACGGCTTCTTAGGCACATTTTTGCTAAATTAAAGATTTAATTTAGTATTTATTTCTGCACAACACTTTCTAAAAAAATAATATAATTATCAATATACCTTAATTTATTCAGTAGATCTCTATCCTCATTAAATCCACTCTTTTCATCAATAAGTCTACGAAAAAGACGAAAAAAAAAAAATAAATTTATGATAAATTAATACATGCAAGGATAACTTTGTGACTTAAATATTTTCCGTACGCTATATTTCAGTAAATTAGTACCTTTTCATAGCAATATTGGTCAGTTGTTCCATTAGCGAATACGTTTCTGATTTATGTAAAAACATAGAAAAATAATGCTGCAACATAAATGTTAAAAATTGAGTGCCATATGGAATGTATTAATGACACGCACAAGCGATAATAATACATAGATAATAATACATAAATAGCACTCAAGTTAACAAGTACCTCTTTATTGTCACGTGTTACGACACGTATACTATCTGGAACTAAAAGGGAATTGGTTTTGCTCAATTCCGTAATGTCTGTCCATCTCACGGTCAACTTCGTTTCTCTCGCCAGTATATAAGCGTAAAAGCACATGTGGTTTACAGATAAGTAGAGCCATCCTTGTCTAGGTAGTCGTGATTTCCAGTAACTAAAAAAAAATCGCCTTATGATTTACCTTCTCTTAAATACATTTAATATTGCATTTTAATGTAATCTTCATATATTTAAAATTTAAAGACCTGCATGAATAATAATTGACCAATTTGTCCTCTTTGGGTATATTGAACAATTGGTGGAATTTAAAAGACACAGTTTTAAAAGACTCTGGGTCTTCTTCTGCAAACAATATTAATGCTCAGTTTATGCGTTAGCAAACTTACAGCTTAATGTTCTTACAGTTTATGTAACGACTAATAATTTCTACCATCTGCGAACTGAGAATCCGGAATGCTATTCGCTATGATGGATTGAATTTTGCAGCAAACGAATTCCGTTATCTCCTCCTCGGTATCAAACGACGTGAGCGTGGTCATTAAATTCGAGTGGAGCCATTCCCAATCCTGCAAAATCTCCTCACGGGTTAAGGAACACGCCACTTCTGTAAAATTCAAATACACATTGCAGATTCAAATTCTATACTTTGAGCAAAGATTTAATAATTAAAGATAAAACCTAATTTGATATTAAAAAAATTTTTTAATTTTTTAAATATTGTAATTGCATAAATTCAAAAAATGTAGGTGAAAGCATTGAGCTCTCTTGACTGTACATAATTGATCAACATTTGTTTATGCTAATGTACTGTTATCAGTTGCACTATGCTACTATCACTGCTACTAAAGCCATATTCACATGTGTATTCATTGCCCTTGGCTTTACATTTACTTTTTAAATGCATAATATAAGCAGAAAAATTAATATGTAATAACTGTAATGTGCCTAATTACAACAATTAAATCTATATATCTATAGACAAAAATATTATCTCCTATCCATTTTTCTTTCTTTCTTTTGTAAAAACGTTTTACTTTTTTTTTACATTATCTCAAATTAGAGTCTTAAATTTCAGTTATAATCCAATACCCCAATAAACTTCCGACGATGGTGTCTGATGGAGAATTCTAAAGGGTGGTGGTTTAGTGTCGAAAACACTGTCCAACGTGCCCACCAATATGGAGGTAAGACCTTTTGTTTTTCCATGTCCTTTGCGACGTTGCAAGACAAAGTACACAGTCGCCTGCTCGGTAATCCTATATTACAAAACAATAGAAGAGAATTATATATTAAATATATTTTATATAAATATATATTATATTAAATTATATAATATTATATAAGATTATATAATTATATATTATATAAGCATCGTTTATATCTAAAAAGAAAATAGGATCCCTCAAAATAAATAATTTTAATTGTAAGACATTAAAGAAGATTTTTTAACAAATGTGTAACAAACATCTAACATATAACGTCAAACATTGAATACAGTAAATAAAATAAGATACAATAATTAAATTAAAAATTGAAACACAATTTTGGCTTAATTTAAATGTAAATAAAAGATTCTGTAAAAAAAAAAAACAGTTTCAGAAATGGTAACTATTTATCGTCCAGATTTTTATCAATTGTAACGAATCATTTTTCTCCGGTAACATTTATAGTTATTATTTGTCATTAACTGTTATTATGCATATTTGAAATCGTGTCAAATTAGCGTCGAACTGTCATCCTCGCTTATCGTTGTCGCTCATTTCATCATCACGACATCGCCGCTTATCGAATCCGACCAGACGCTCGCGTAAAAAACGGCGCGTCGCACTTTCGTACGTATATATATATACTACATATATACAGATTTTGTACATACAAGGCGTTTCGCGGACGTTATCTACGAACGTGGCTCATGCGTTAAAAATGGTAATATTGCCTCGTTATGACGTTGGACAAACGATAACGGGCTATATCCACCGCGTAAGCGATCGACGAGGCGAGCGTCGAGGAAATTGATGTTGCCGAATCGCGGCGCGACGATAAGGACCTCGGCGCGATAAGGGCCACCCCGGGGTGCCGCGAAAAAACGGCACCTCCCGCTCTCAGCTGTTGTCTCTCTGTCACACGATGTAAACACTCCGCGCGACTCGACGGACCGTCGCGTTCGAGCCCCGCGAGACGGTCGGATCGCGGCGGCGAGGCGTCGTCCGCGACAACGTAAGCGGCGACAACGGTGAGGATCGCGGATCGCGCCCGTCGACCCTACCACTTACCAGAACGCGTTGGCGAGCAGCACTTCCTGCGGCTTCACCCACATCTCGTAAGACCGCCGTGCACGCCGCGCGACGTGCATATGGCACTGACGTCGAACGACGACGACGACGACGACGACGACACCGGCGACGGCGACGACGGCGACGTCGCGCGCGCGCGCGCGCGCGCACAACCCTCTCCGAGGAACGGTCGCGAGAGCGCCGACCACGGCGGCGGTGCGAGGGGAGAGAAATAAGAGCAACGATACTTCGAACACACGGATCAACACCGTCCGTGACGGCGGAACGATCAGCTGCTACTCGCGAGGCCGCGAGGCGCGGGGGGGGGGGGGGGCGGCAGGGGCGCACGCTCGCCACGCCACGCCGGACGAGTGTCAGTTGCGCGCGGACAGAGATATATATCGTTATTGGCGATCGGTATCACGATCAATTTACACGATCCCCGGGTGACCCCCCGGTGCTCTCGACGACGACTACCCGACAGCTGCATCCGAGAATCCGACTGGACTGAGTGTCAGGGCGATCGAGCTTAAGAGCGGCCTCGATCGCGACAGAGGTGTGAATAATTTAACAAGGTTAGATACGTAATAATTTACTGTTTTTTTTACACGGTGGGAACGTTTAATATGTATATTGTCTCTCATAATATTATATATATTTCTTAGGAGATGCCGATCGTACGATTCCAAGTTGCCGATAGTCTAGTCTGCCTACAACGATCCTGAGTATCTCTGACAGATCTAATTTAATCCCGATGTGAAATCTTCAGTTAATTAAAGGGATCAAGTGTCGAACGGGAGGACAACAGATATATACATATAATATTGAGAGCGGATATTAACTCGTGACAACGGAATGGATGAATGCCTGGAGAGAATCAGTCACCCGGGCTCGTGGGTGAAGGAGAAGTACCAGGAGGTGCAGAAATTGCTGAGGGAACGCGAGCCGAGGTGCGATCCGAACAAGCTCTACGAGAGGAAGCTCAAAGCCGTGGAGATTCTGATGGAGATACTGGAGGCGCTCATGCTCTGCAAGGAGACCCTCTGCACCGTGGCGGCGGCGATAACCTACCTGAACATCGGCGTGCTGCAGGCGGACATAGAGGACACGGGGTTCGCCACGGAGCACTTCAAGAAGTGCGCCGACCTGCTGGGCGACAGCAAGCTGACGTCCGAGGGCATCCTACCGGCTATAAGCGCCAACAACCAGCTGGGCCTGATTTACGCGCAGCGCGGCCTGTACGAGGAGGCGAAGGATCTCCTGAAGCAGGCGGAGGACATGTACGTCACGTTCACCGAGGACCCCGAGCGCGAGCCCGTTCACACGGTGGCCATCATCGACATCGAGGAGCTCGAGGCGGACGCGGGGTGCGCCAGGAGCGTCCTCGAGAGGCTTCACACGTTCACGCTTTACTACCTGGCGCAGGTCTACCGCGAGCTCGACGACAAGCGCAACTTCGCCCTGTACTGCCACAGAACGCTGAGCAAGCAGCTGAGTCGCGACAGGATTACGCGGAATCTGGACTACGTCGAGTGGGCCCTGAACGCCGCGACGATCTCGCAGTACTTCATAGAGCAGGACAAGTTCCCGCAGGCGAGGCACCATCTGGCCGCGGCGTCCCACGTCCTCGGGCGATACTCGGAGATCCTGCGGGCGAAGGGCACGCGGGAGACGAGCGAGAGCGTCGCCGCGGAGTACGAGAACTACGAGCACAGATCGGCGAACATCGCCAGATGCTGGGCGAAGTACGGTATCGCCCTCCTGACCGCGTCCCGGGAGAGACTGTTGAAGAGGGCCGAGCAGGAGGACGAGCCCGACGTGAGGAAGGTCGCGAGAGGAGCCGCCTCCGGCGAGGGCCACAAGTGCTCCGAGGAGGACCCGAGATTCGTGGAACTGGAGCCGGAATTGGAGTCGATCACCAGCGAGATCACCGACAAGTACTTGCTGGACTTCAACGACGCGAGGCCGGTGTTCCTGAACGTGCGGAAGTGGCTGGACCGGGCGAGGGAGTACTACACGTTCGAGAATCACGCGTCGGACTACGCCTGGATCGCCCAGGACCTCTCGCAGGCGTACAAGTACCTGGCGTTCTTCGAGGACAACGAGGACCGGCAGGCGAGGATGCACAAGCGGCGGATCGACACGCTGGAGGAGGTGATCGAGGGGCTTTACCCGCGCTTCTACCGGGTGGTCTGCCGCGAGATCTGGCTCGAGCTCGCGGCGACGTACTCGGAGATCCTGGACCTGAAGATCGACCGGCTGGAGGCGTCCAACGAGAAGCCGACCGCGCAGATGGTGGCGAAGATCGAGCGGCTGGCGAGGAGCAGCATAAGGCACTACCAGTCGTACCTGAACTCGCTGGACGTGAGCAAGTCCGAGTGCGGGGTCGAGTCCTTCTCGGACGACCTGCTGCACTCGGCGTTGTACACCCACTTCCTCATCGGACGGCTGTACAACAAGATCATAACTCCCGACGTGCAGCAAAAGATAGAGAACATGCAGAACTGCGTCGACGCTTACAACTTCATCGTTGATTACTACGACAAGCATCCCGAGAAGCAGGAGACGTTGAAGAAGTATGAATTTATGAAATTGTCCAGAGAATTTGTCACGCTGCTGCCGCTTACGCTGGAAAGATTGAAACAGCAGCAAGCAAATAAATAATGCCACTTCTTTCCCTTTTTCGTTCACATTTCTGTGACAGTGTAAAATATTTTTGTTACATTATTGATGCACAGCAGACGAAGATTTTTGTATGAAAAACACAAAAATCTACGTCTGCAAAGCGTCTGTGTTTAGAAAAAAAAAAATACTTTGTCATGCATTTACAGTCAGCTTTCCAATTCTTTCACATATTTTAATGTAGACATATTTAATACCGTACATTAAAAATAATATTTAAGACGAAAAAGTGATCACTTCGTTTAATCTGACTTTCCTTTCCTCTGTCAAACAATACAAAATAAACAGTTTTATTCACGTTAAAAAAATATTAAATAGAGCTTATCAATTAAGCTTATCAATTAATCGATAAAGACAAAGTTACACTTATTAATAAACAATATAATAGTAATAAAATATATAAAAGATATTTATATATTTTATTACTATTATATTGTTTATTAATAAGTGTAACTTTGTCTCTATCGATTAATTGATAAGCTTAATTGATAAGCTCTATTTAATATTTTTTAAGCTCTATTTAAAATTTTATTAATAATATATAATTTATTAAAAATTATATAAAAGATGATATTTTAATTTTTAATAAATTATATATTATTAATAAAATTATATACATAAGTGTAATACATATATATGATTCTACCATAAATTAAATTTTACTAAATTTAACTTTTTCTATCCTGAAATTCCAATTTTCAATATAAATTATTATTTATCCTACATTAGAATTCTTTCTTGTCAATATTAGATTTATATATATATGTATTTTAATATTATTTGCGCGTAAAACATTATAACGCAGCATCATCTTATGCAGATGAAACAGAAATTGAAGAAAAAATTTGGTCGCACGCCACTAAGCCACTATTCATCGCTTCAGCTGATAAGGCCGAGATAAATTCGTCCCGAGAGTAGATGTCAGCACGTGCTGCGAACAGTGCGAATTTCCCTCGTCGCAAGTCCGCGGGTCGTCCCGGAGCGAATAGGAGTTCGAAGAAGAGTCTCGTCAGAAGCCTCTCTCGGCGACGGAAACGCGTATCCGAATCAGAGTCCGAGACCTCGTCGCCGCCTCGCCGGTTGTTGTTGCTCGTTCGTTTCGTTGTGCGTGGAAAAAAATGGCGTCCCTGGCGGGTGTCCGGCTGCTGGCGAGGAACGCCGGCTGCCTCAGGATCAACTCGCTCAATCGGCTGTGCTGCGGCGCGCTCGTTCAGATGCGATGCGAGCAGAGGCTGCTGTTGCATCACGCCGCGCGGACCACGCTTGTCGTGCCGCAGGTAATAAATCGACGGACCCCCCCAGGGTGACACGCGACGACTGACCTCGTCGCCTCGAGCGATTGCCTCGGCGTGGTTCCGCGGCATTATGTAACCCGAAGCGCGACCTGAGACACTCGCCGAGACGCGACGGCGACAGCGTCGTCGGAATCGTCGCGACCGGGCACCAGCTCGACTCGCCCTGGCTCGACGGATCCACCTGTGTGTTTTGGCTGCGTCTTCTCTTGATGTTTACAAGCTCAGCTCTGTCCAGCTGCGTTACACGGCAGATTTAATTTGCGTTTAATTGTTGAGGACTGCGACACTGCCAAACATCTTAGTATACTGACTTTTATACACTTGATCTAAATAATAAGAATAAAATGTAAGAAACGAGGAAAAGAAGCTGATTGAAAAATCATAGAAAGAGGACTAAAGAAACTAGACTGAATCAGATAAGTGTATACTCAGGTTTTAGAAGTGTCATAGAAGGCGCAGACAAAACTGTAGATTCTACCAAGACTAATCTTTTGATCCTAGGTTTAGCTATACAATGCTGTTAAAATATTATGTTCTTAAAACATGTCAATTTATCTTTATTAGTGCATGTGCTTAAGATTTGCAGATAATAAGAAAATGATACTTTTGAATTTCTAAAACAATATCTGCAATGATTGTCATTAGTAATCATGATTCTGAGAATTTAAATTATCATCATTTATAAGGAAATATTGTAAAATCGCATTAGAATGCATTTTTTGCATGGCATAATTAAATGCAGAGGTTAGGTTTCTTCATGAAATAATTTGATAAGCGTATACTCAGAAGTTTTAGAAGTGTCATAGAAGGCTCAGACAAAACTGTAGATTCTACCAAGACTAATCTTTTGATCCTATAGGTTTAGCTATACAACACTCTTAAATATTATGTTCTAAAACATGCCAAACAATTTATCTTTATTAGTACATGTGCTTAAGATTTGCAGATAATAAGAAAATGATACTTTTGAATTTCTAAAACAATATCTGCGATTATTGTTATTAGTAATATAATAATCATGATTCTGAGAATTTAAATTATCATCATTTATAAGGAAATATTACAAAATCGCATTAGAATACATTTTTTGCATGGCATAATTAAATGCAGAGGTTAGGTTTCTTCATGAAATAATTTGATAAGCGTATACTCAGAAGTTTTAGAAGGTGCAAACAAAATTGTAGATTCTACGAAGACTAATCTTTTGATCCTATAGGTTTAGCTATACAACACTCTTAAATATTATGTTCTAAAACATGCCAATTTATCTTCATTAGTACACATGCTTAAGATTTGCAGATAATAAGAAAATGATACTTTTGAATTTCTAAAACAATATCTGCGATTATTGTCATTAGTAATATAATAATCACGATTTTGAGAATTTAAATTATCATCATTTATAATGAAATATTATGAAACTGCATTAAAATGTATTTTTTTTTGCAAGGTATATCAAAGTGCAGAGGTTAAGTTTCTTCATGACATAATTCGATAAGAGCTGAACGTTGAAATGTGTACAAAAAGGTCATTTTGGTGCATGCAGGTAAAATGCAATCGTGGATACTGTCAGGACGTTAAAGTGAAACCGAAATCGCTTAAGGATATCGAAGCGCGTGTATTGAAGGCAGTGGCCGCTTATAACGACGCCCTCGCAGAGAAGGTTTACATGAAATATATCTATCTTTTTTTCTGGGAAACATTTTGCAGGGCTTAAGGGACACACGCGTCAAGCAGGTGCGCCAGTACAGTCATAAGGATCCGCTAACCCTTGACATTATCAGTCAGCGGGTGCTCTTGGTTCTGAAACTTTATGACAAAATTGAAAGCACAAAGGTATCCTGCAGAGATCAATATTCTTGAAATGTTTATCAAGACGTTTCTACAAGTATTACTCAATGAGTAAAAATGCATAGGAAAATTCATCGCATATTGTGTTTGAAAAATATAATAAGCAATCAAAAAACGTACATATCTTTTTAAAAAAATATAATAAGCAATCAAAAAACGTACATATCTTTTTAAATATATAATACAGCTTTTCCATATTAATTATAACAATTGATAGTGATTGTATAGTGAATAATTGATATTGATCATAATAATTGATTCTATCCATTTCGTATTTTACAATCATTTAACTTTTTTTGTTGATAGTTTCTTCGCTGAAACGTCTTGAGAAATATTTCTTAAAACAAAGAATTAGTTGGTTAACACCTCGCTTGATCGTGGCGTCCGTGTACATACTGACATGTGGAAACAAATCATTAATTTTATTTAATAATCATTATTTAATAATCATTATTTACTGGATATAACAATTTGCAGTGCTATATGCTGCCATTGAGAAATATATATGGAGAAGAAGAGATTCATTATTTGTATAATACCGTCGATTTACATTTAAATATGCAAGATATTCTCTCTTCTCAATATGCATCCGAACTCCCAATTAACTTTTTGTCAGAAGGACATGTCAGTTGTGCAGGAAGCCCGGCGACGCGCGATCGAGTCCCAATCTAATCCGATATACCGAATCCTCAGCTGAGCCTGGAGTCGCATTTCATGGACGACCTGGGTCTGGACTCCCTGGACCACGTGGAGATCATCATGGCGATGGAGGACGAGTTCGGCTTCGAGATCCCGGACATGGACGCGGAGAGGCTACTTAAACCCAAGGACATAGTGCGCTACGTCGCGGACAAGGAGGACATATACGAATAACACGCCTCGTGTATTATTTATATGCGCTTAGTCGGAACATCCGCCGTTGTTTCGGCCGGAGACAACGGATCCACAGCTATTTCTTTTACCTTGCTGTCGCCATTGTTTTTTTTTTCTGTATATAGGTCACTCATCACTATGTGAATAAAAAAATATGCGAATTGTTACAACGAATTTCTCTTACATCCCGAAGAATTTGTGACAGGCGATTGCGAAACCGTTTACGAGGTGACTTTTAATACGATTTTTAATATCGCGCGCATCCCGGCATGCTTTTTTATTTTGCAATAATGCTGTGTGTGTTTGTAAAATTCGTAACTCGTTAAAACTATATACAGTCATGATAATTAAATTCGCTAAGACCGTAATATATGTTTTTATTACCAATTTCTTGTTTTTACGTCGAAAATTATGCATCGCTTAATTCAGTTACCGAGTGATTTGAGTCAATCATTTCGAGCTTGATTTCGATATATTTTTATTATAAAAATAATGGAACGGGATTTGCATTTTACGTATATTTGAATATAGCGGTCCCTCGTGCGTGCCACCGCGTGATGTAAATTTCCTTCCTAATCTTGTCTTTCCTAATCTTCGATTTATAGAAATAATTAACGTATTCAACAGCCAGACATGTAAATTTATCGTCGACAAATATCGGTTACGCAATTCGTTTTGCAATAGCGAGTGTTCATCGTATTTTTCGTATATTCCATTTTTAGGGTATTTTACTTGTTAGACGATTTTTTCCGACATGCCGATTGGCTGCTGGCTAGAGGATTTTGGAACGTGTGGGAGCGGGCGCTGCAGAATCGCGCATGTGCAGACGCGTCCCCACCGTATTTTGCGTTTGTGTTGCGTCTGTGTGTCCAGCTGTGCCGGACTCCGGAGAGACTACTTTGGCGTGACGTTCACGTTCACGTCTCTCTCTCTCTTTTTCGGGAAAACACTTTTTTCCGGTCGTACAATTCGTCGGGACAATGGCTCTCAGTCCTTCGATGACCTCGAAAATGAGGAACAGGGATTACGCGAATAAAATCAGGCACGGCTCGCCTAAGCTGCAGGAGGTGCTGCGAGAGGTTGGGAAGTCAATGTGTTTACTCCGTTTACTACTTTTGAAGATTTCCGGATAGTAACGCGTAAACGCGTGAGAACGTGCATGCTTTTATAAATATATTCTCGCGCGCCTCGTTTTTCTCCTTCAATTAAAGTTCAAAACTCGATAAACTTCAATTGCTCTTGGTATTTTCAATCGTGATTATCGTGAATTAATTCTGGATAATAAAAAAGTAATAAAAAAAGATTGCTTTCATTGAAAGATTTATAGTGGAGTAGCGTGGAGTTTATATTGTGATATTTTATATGAACAAGATTCTGTTCTTTCTCTGCTGCTGCACCGCCTGTTCTATTTTCAGAGGTGTCGCCAGAGAATGCGAGAGAAGCGGGGTCAGCTGTTTAACAGACGTAGATTCGGCTCGGAGCTCAATTCGAGACACACGCAGGACACGCAGGACACATTGACGGAAATAATACGCCAAGAATTCAAGAATCTGGCGACACCGGACGACGATGGCGCGAGCGTTACGTTCAAAGAGATCGAGGAGCATCTGACTCTGGAAGAGGCGATTAAACTGGAAAACGAAATTGTTAACGAGCAAGGTTTGATCAGCACTGAAATTCCATAGTATTGTATTGTATTAATTTCACGCATAGTGTATTTAAAAATTTCATTCAAATTGCTAACTAGAAACTTAATTGATAATTTGTAATTATTAAGTTTCTGTTTGCGATACAATACAGCACTAAAATTCCATAGTATTGTATTTATTAATTTCACATAGTGTATTTAAAAATTTCATTCAAATTGCTAACTAGAAACTTAATTAATAATTTGTAATTATTAAGTTTCTGTTTGCGATACAATACAGCACTAAAATTCCATAGTATTGTATTTATTAATTTCATATAGTGTATTTAAAAATTTCATTTTAATTGCTAGAACTAGAAACTTGGTAATTTGTAATTATTGGTAATTTATTTGCGATATATGCACAATACCAATTTGATGGAAAATAATATTGCGCAGAACAATGGATAATCCAAGAGTACGAGAAGATTTTACAAGACGAGATTGAATACTTGGAGATGTACTCCGACAACGAGAACAGAGAGGTGTTCTGTCCCATATGCCTGAAGGCCATACTAGCGGAGGGGAACAACTGCGTGGATTGCCCGGTCTGTGGACTGAAATTGACAGGTCGCACCATGCAGGAGGTGAGGCATCTGATTACCGAGAGTGTAAACACTCACGCGTTCAATTGCGTCAAGATGCCGCTGTTCACGGTAATACCCGACAATTGTAATCTCAATTTGTATCTGATCTGCCACGACTGCTCCACTTTGGAATTGATTTGCTGATCCGCTGGCGGCTCTTTTTTTTATTAACGAGAACTTGACTGCGTCGGATAATTTTAACGCACTCTCGCGCAAAGATAATATTAAATGCCGTCAACATCAATGTGTCCAAAGATTACGAAGTAATAATTGTAAACAAATATGTTATAATTTGCGTTAGAACAAAGCTTTATATATAAAAGCTGTTTATAATTTGACTCTTTTCTAAGGAAATATTTATAAATTTTGTGTAGATATATACGTTTCAATTTACGAAATCCAACAGGAATTAATTGTTAAACATTAAAATTACATTAAATAATATTCATTATGAAAGTCTTCTCCAAAACTTTCAATAAAAACTATTTCGGGAGAATATTTTCCGAATTGTTACAAAACATTGTATTATTTCTACTTCCGATTTTGACTGTTTCTTAATCTTAATAAGAGTTCAATATAATTATTTATTAACAGTTAAAAGCACAACGATCGCGAGAAGGGAAGAGTAGAGAAAAAAAAGAATACACTAGTTTGGATTTCTTCATGTTATAACATCTGAATAATAACATGCGAATCTTTATGATTATATGATACATATTGTACAAAAAAAAAAAAACATCCCTTCGATGAGTTCACTTATATTATTTATCACTTATGCATTGTACATACATGATGTAAGTTGAGTGAGGGCATCTACATATTGTATAAAAAAAATAACGTTCCTCAACGCTCTAAAACAAAACAACAAATTAACAGAGTACACATGGATAAAGTGCCAAATTTAAAAAAGAATTCAACTTTCAGAGAATTTAAACTTTTCGTTCTCTCTTACTCCATCGGGCTATATTTACATTTCGTATTAACAAAAAACATGCAACAATATGCAGAAGCCCTCCGTAGTTTAAGCTATATTCGGTACATTTCAAACCTTTTCTGCAAATGATTTGTACATTATCACATGAATTTCCATTATTAAAGATCTCATTTTATACATAACGGTGTGAACATGTATCTTATGAGCAACCCCCTTTTTATAGTCTTCGCGCAATTTATAAACTATATAAAGTGTCTACACCTCTTGCCGGTGTAGTTGTACAGTATAATTTAACAGCAGCATATCAATCAAATAATTATCAATTATTCGATATTTTATTTATTATATCAAATGATGATTTATTATATCAAACAATTGATAATTCATAACGAAAATTATTCGCGTCTTCACTCAAAAGTCACATTTCAAAATTTATCTTTTCACAACTCTTGAATTATTTTCGCATTAGAACGTTTTATGGCACTGAATTTTTTGTCGTTTTTCTTTTCAATACGTTATTTATCTTTCATCGTACTATTTACGCAAAGAAATGTCCTAAAACTAAAAGAAATTTGTCCACAGTACGATCCAGTACTGTTTTAATAGTTACATTATGATAATTCCTAACATGTGATAATTTATATAAAACGTTTTCCGAAAGATTAGTAAAAATATTAATATTGAAGCCTAATCTTTTTTTTGTTAAATTTTAAATTCTTATATGTTCTCTTCTATTATAATAATCAAATTCATTTTAAGTTAGCAAGTTGAAAAATATTTCTCAAAGCAGTGGAATGAATTTTATCATTTATAAACGTTTATTATGCGTAATTATTCAAAAATTGTATGAATATATATATATATAATAACTCTCTCTCCTTTACTATTTTATAAATTACTTATTAATTGTAAAGATATTAGAATATTCTTTGATCTTGATTGCACGATAGTATATATAATTGCGCGAAATAAACGTGAGAAAAAGTACACATCCTTTTAAAGAGACATCCTTTTTATCAAAAAATAATTTTATCTGCGAATAATTGTGCCATATCAACAGTATCATATAATATAGTGTATATTTTTTTTATTTAAATCTATAATGTAAAACGTTTCTTGTTTGGTTCTTTTCGAGGCCTCAATGCCACATAATTGTTTGCCAATCGATCGTAAACGTTGCCTCGATTCTTGCCAATCTAACTAGAATACGACACTTAAAAACATTTCTTATATATTTTTTCATTATACATTTTTTTGCAACTTTAACGTGCCGTTGCAATAAAAAGAGGAATTGCACTTAAATTTTTATTCTGGTTACTGATTAACCGAATGTTACGTCTTCTTTTTGTTTCGCGTAAATCTAACTTAAGTTATACGGTAACTATCATCCCTTACGTTCATACATATGTATCTAAACCTTGAACTTTTTTTTTATACAAACACGCCGCTGAATTCACGCACTCTATCACTGCATGGACCGTCGGCGTTCCGTTCGATTAACTGCCGCGAGCGCTTCTTCGGGAAGGCGGGTGGGGTTTGATAAAATGTCAGTGGCAGTACATAGAGACCTTAGAGAATTCAGAACAGCTGAAAATAATATCTTGGTCAAGAAAATCGTATATAAATCGTTTACAAGCATTATGTTGCATGCGTTTCTCAATGTTTTATTTTAATTATACTATTCTTATAATTTATTGTTGTCGTGTAGGGGCTGACATCTAAACAAGTATATTTAAATAACTGAGGTAGATTACAATGTCTAAGGATTTAAAAAAGTGATTTTTTTCTTTTATAGTTACTTTCTCGAATCATACAAATTCACTTTGTACAATTAAAAGCAATGAAAATTTAAATATACCTTTTTTTGTCTCCCTTGTATACGAACCTGGTCTGAGATCGACAAGCGAACAATGTTGCTCTACCCACAATAATGTACTTCTATACAAATCCTCGATACTCGCAGTTGAAACTGAAGTATTGAAGGACAGCATCAGCGGTTCTATCAATATACTGAACTGAATATTACATTGAGGAAAATAATCTTTTGGAATCTTATACACTCTAGTCATTGGTTTGAGATACAATGCAGCAGAAAAAGAAAAGGATACAATCCAGAATTTCCAGTTTTCTCGCGTGCGCGTACGTACATACTCGTCGAACATCTCTTTCATCTTGCTGGTCCTGTGTCTAGAAACTGGAGCACCCGTTGCAGGAAGCATAGATTGACAATTACTACAAGAATTAACGTCATGCAGCATTCAAGAGATTTACTCTATTTATACAGCTAATTATTTCTATATATATTATTTCATAACGTTTTCCTAATTTATTAGAAGTATGACTTGAACGTACCTAATAGATGTATTAAGGCACTCGATCTGCTGTCTCAGGCTATCCATCTCGTCCTTCAACTGGTGTCTCTCCGCCTTAAGTTGCCGGATGTAATCCGCCCCTTTCTGCAGCATCGCCGCCTTGCTCAGTTTCGCATTGGAATTCTGACTGAGCTGCGGTATCAGACTGTGCAGCATGTCGAAGCCGTTCTTGATGTTGTATCTACGCTTCTGTTCCGCGTGAATGTGGCCGACTCGCCTCTGCTCCTTGTACTGTCCCCTTTCCGAGTCACCCTTCATGTATCCACGGTTGGGTGACAAAGGGCTACCTATGCTCATCGGGCTGTGCAGCGGGCTGAGGCTCAAAGCCTGGGGACTGTGCGCGGTAGAGTCCTTCGGCGAGCCTATTGGACTACTGTGGGACTGATGCGTTTGATTGTTCGCATTTAGGAGAATCTGCTGGGCTGTGGATGGTTGCATTGTCTGCAAAATATCAAAATATGAATTATTGCATCGTAAAAAACGAACAAATTGAGATTGTCGATAAATCGATATTTCACCGCAATACCTGTTGCTGTGGTTGTGTCTGCTGTATACTAGAAGTTTGCATTGTTTGTACAGTCACCGGGGTCGTGATATGTTGCGCTGTCGTTACTTGCGTTACATCTAGATTACATAAAGAATCAGTCATCATTATATCAAATATTTTTCTTATTAATATATAGGTCAATTATAAAAATAATTAAAATTTAATTAATATCGTAAAAACTTTTCTTAATAATATAAGTCAATTATAAAAATGATTATTAAAATTTAATTAATATCGTAAAAACGTGTTGCATAAAATCATAGTTATGTTCAATGGATTCAAGACTTAAAAAATTTTTTTCAAGAACGGACAGAATTACAATTAAAAAAAATACGTACTATTCGTGAGTAAGTGCGCGAGTAAAACATTGTTATTCAAATTCAGAGCTGGGTCGCTCACTGCGGATACTAGCGGCGGTGGATGTATCCTAGGCGCCGTTAAAGAGGAGCTGCTTCGGGATCTATTCCTCCCTTTTATTTGACACTGAAGAAAAATATAATTTTATTCATAATTGAAAATATTTTGACCAATATATTAGCGCTATTTAAAAAAAAAACTGTAGATTTAATACAAGAAAAATATAATTTTATTAATAATTAAAAATATTTCAACCAATATATTAGCGTTATATTAAAAAAAACCTGTAAATTTAATACATTTTCTTTAGAATGTCAGAGTAGACTGTTGGCTTATCCTGCTTATTAACAGTGGAATACTGACCTTAGGCACGGCGAAGATCTCTTCTTTCTCCGTGTTGGACGTCGTCGGTTGAGGTAGCAGCTTGGGGTGCAAAGCGGGCGCGGTAATGTCCAAACCGGATGACGGCCTGCACTGCAGCAATATCTGTGGCTGCGACGGTGGCTCCGTCGTAGAGACCGTTACCACTTGTTGCGTGGGATACGACTGAAAAATAAACAACACGCATTACAACTCTCCGTACGCTCGTCCACGAACGAGCCAATTTTACCGCGCAGTTACCTTGAAGGCGGTGGCGTTAAATTTACACGGTTGAGCATTTAGATTCTGCACGAGGTTCGGGAACTTGTAGCACTGCTGCTGCGGCTGAACGATCTTGTAAGGCTTGCTGTTGGACATCGGCGAGGCGGTCGGCAGGGGCCTTATCGCTTGCTGCTGAGCAGCCTGCAGCTGCGGCGGACCGACGACGGTTTGCGTGACGTAACTGTGCTGCAACGCCACCAGATTCTGCACGGCCGCGGCGGTGATCGCCGGTAACTGGCTGGCGGCGTTGACCGCCGCCGACTGATCGTTCAGCGTTGTGATCTGCACGGACTGCGGCTGATTCTGCACCGGTGTTAATCGCACCGCCTGAATCTCCATCGCGTAAGGCTGCTGCGGCTGGAAGCCCGAATTCTGCTGCTGCACCGTCGTTTGATACATTATTTGATTGTTCTGCTGTTGCGGTTGCGGTTGCTGCTGCTGCTGGGATTGCTGTATCACGCGGCTGCTTCTCGACGACGCTCTGTCACCTCTAGCCTTGTCTCGTATGGATTGATTTGGACTCGCAACGGACGCAGCCTCGAAGTTCGGCTGAAGAGCGTAATCTTCACTCATAACTCTAAATGGTGAAGAGTAATATATCCGGGAATTATAATCGGACCTCGGACTTTGGTCTTTATCCGCTTATCCGGTGTAAAGCGTAATCATTTCGTAATATACTCACATGTTATTCCTATACATATTCGCCGCCGCTTCAGGTTGAGACTGAGTATATATCTTGGCGGTGTACTGGAGATTCTGCATGCTGGCCTCTTGCTCCTGCGGCAGCTGTTGCTGCTGCTGCTGCTGCTGCTGTTGTTGCGCCGTCTGTTCGTTCTTTATCGTCGGACCCTCGCCTATTTCGTTCATCGGATTGATCGGTGTCATCAGGTCCAAATCGGCGTAAGTAGTGTTTAGACCGCTATTCCGAAACATATCGTCCTCTTCGGGTACGGGAGGCAATTTCGAGTTTAGAAATTCTTGAATCAAGGATACGCAACATCGTGAGAAACAATCGTGCGTGAGAAACGACCTCGTATCAAAATCAATGAACACTGTTATACCTTGCAACGGCTCTAAGGTGTCCATGAAATCGTCCAGATTCGGTTGCAAGGGGCCCAGACTGGGTTGTATGAAGTCTGCTAAGCTGGCACCTCGCGCTGTCGGATCACATTTCGTATCATATTTCATATTATAATATTCGTAATATTTCTACAAGTATCACGGAGAGAACGATTTTGCTGGATACAGATTTGAAAATAATTCTTGTTGGACAATCAAAATAAATTTTGTTGGAAAGTTAAAAATGCTTATTATTTTTAGCTTTTCAACAAAATTATTTTCAGATCTGTATCCAGCAAAATTGTTCTTTCCCCGTGTATAATTTTAATTTCTACGACTGCTGAATATTCTAAGGAATCTTCTAAACTCCAAGAGTGCAAGCGGATGCGCTTCGCGCAAACGAATTACCGATTTCTCTGGGATCGGGAAAGTACAACGGCTGATTCGAGCTGATGGTCGAAAAGAGGGTGTCGGTCATCAGCTCCATGTAGTCTTCGTCAACCAACATACTCTCCCCGCCCGAAGCGCCGGCCGTATTCCCGAATGCATTCCCCGTACCCGCACCGAAGTTACCGGTGGGCCCACATCCACTGATCCAATCCAGCATGTCCATTGACTCCATCTGAAAAAAAAAAAAAAAAGTATCTTGCATTACAATTCGTGTTTCATACTTCATTGTCATGAAAAAAAAAAAAACAAGGAAATTTATTTCTATTCGCGTAGTGACACAGTCACGATAAAGACATTTAAATTTATTCTCTGTCATCAATTGTTTGTATTATTTAATTGTATTTTACAAAGTAACGGAGGTATTTTGAAGAAATATCTTAATTTATTATACACACATACATATATAAATGTAAATATATTGTATTTTACAAAGTAACGGAGATTTTTTTGAAGAAATATCTTAATTTAAATATACGCATATAAATGTAAATATAAACATATGCATATAAATGTAAATATATGTACATACCATCTCCGTGCCATCTTTGTTCGTCCAGCCGAGGATTTGGTTGCGATAGAACATACGCCATTTCTTGTATTCCGCTGTGACGGCCGCGAGCTTTCGTTTCCAGTATTTTCCCTCTAAGACCACCGCCTGATAAGAGATACGCCGTTGATTCACGCTCACTAAGCGCAATTCTTATTTAGCGGAGGACATTAAAACATTTTACGGCCTCGTGCGAGAGCTTACTTCTCGGATTTTCTCACTACTTTGAGTAAATGCGACGCTGCGTGCGCGTATGCAATCTGCTAGCGACACTTCGGGGGATATTACAAACTGCTACGAAATTATCTAATCAAACGTGCTCTGTTGTGTCGCCAAAGACACAGCGCGATAAGGACACTTCCCAAATTACGTAATTGGGTTAAAAAAATCGAATAGCACACGTGGCGACCGAATTGCTATTTAATAATCATTAATATCAGACATTCGGCGTCCGATTTATTGATCAAGATCGAATGATTAGTTAAAGGAAATTATAACGATTGACTCACTGATCTTTTGCGACTGTTCTAAATACGAAGCTTATTATACTGAATGTTTCAAATAAATCAATATCATTGAAATTTTAAGTCAGATATTGGGGGATATACCTCGGGCTTGTTGTGGGTGTCCACGTCAAGTGGCGACGCGAACTGGCACACCAACGTGTTTTGCTTCAATATAACTAAAAAAAGAAAAAAATTTCTCCATTAAAGATAAATTTTACGATTTATCTAATATTACACGATTCACGGTAATAATGCTGATCCAATTACAATATGCGAAGATGTTTTCTAATATTGTCTCTACCTTTATTAAAATCTCTTGAAAAAACTGCCGATTTAAAATTAAATAAATGCGAAGACCAACAACTTGATGTGTTCGTTGAAAGATATATTAAAATAATTGCAGATATATGCAAGTACTTTAATATAACCTCAAGTATAACACGAAGTATTCATGTTTCCGCAAATTATTAATCGTAAAGTGATAAATCGAGCGAATTTACTTCAGCCGCATTTAATTTTACGTTTACGCTACAATTATCATGCTGTACGATAAGTAAAAGTTTAAAAAAAGCCTTAATTAATCAAGCATGAGTAATACCGATTTAAAAAGTAGCTGCATTCAATTAAAGTTTAAACAATTACAAGAAACCTATCAAAATATAATTCCATTTTACTCATTTCTAGACCATTTTTCTATGTAGACTATTTGTCTAGTTTTAATCGTTTTAATAATATCGTTATAATAATTTTATAACGAAAGACGAGTAACACATGTCATCATCTTTTCCTCAACGTTGTAAATTATTTTCTTATCTCAATATCTCGTTCTAGCACGGTTTTTGCTCGGGCCAATAGAATTCAACAATTGTGTATACACACATACGTAAAACAACGCTTCCTCGACGCGCAATGATAAGTTGGATTCGCGCCAGGTGAGTAGTATTGATGCGAATGTAGCACGCGGAGATGGAGCTCTTTAAATAGACGGGTAATTACTTATCCGGCCATTCGACGAATAGCAAGACAGCCGGTAGCTATCTGAACTCGACAGGCAGCACTCTGCGTATATCACGGGTAATCGAAGTATCAATGAAACCAAGCGGTTCGAAATTGAGATATTTTGACAACAAAAAATAAAAAAAAATAAAAAAATATATAAAAAATTTATTTGTTGTATACATTTTTAATTTTTCTCTGTCGATTTTAAACGCCGCATTTAAAACGAATTTTATGAATTATGTGTACCTTTTCATTCTTAGTGAATGCTTCAATGGAAAATTACGATACTTCAACATTTATAGATACAGAAACACTTTCGAAAACTAAATGCTGTCACTTTAGTATAGATAAAACGTTTCGATCGATAATACGACGAAGTTAGATTAGAGGATTGCGTTTGCGAACAATACGTTGGAAAAGATAACGAAGCAAACTTGGAAGCTTATCGGATCTCAAATTGTGTAACACCGTCGCGTTTTCTCAATAAAACATAGATAGATTCACGTGATGTTAAATTGCATTTCAGAGATCGGAGGGTATCCCGGAAAGTTCCTCCGTTTATTTTTAAAACATATCGGCTGACGGAAGGTGCTATAAGCGTTATTCCTTTTTCGCTTACATTGCATGTGCCAGCATCTCCAGATCACGTTGTTCAATCTGATCTTGTCCTTCCATCTCAGTCTGATGCCTTTGAAGCGATTCCACTTAGGCGATGTCAGCTTCTGTCTGGAACAAATCCAAATGCCCATACGTCATACCCACTGCGGTAATCAAATTCGAGTCCTGTATAATCAACATGGATTTATAATTTCCACGTTCACGTACATCGCGCGAGGCTTATTGTAACTATTTACAATAATTCTTTCTTGTGCTGTGATTTAAAAAAAATGCAATAAACGAATCACGTAAAGACTGTTTCGTGAGATTATCTCATTTCTATAAAGTGTTATTGAAACACTTCGACAAACCTCATTTTATTTTTGCTAGAAAAAGATACACAGCGAAATGATCGGAGAACATGGCCATGAAGAGTTTATATAACCATTTCAGAAATATATACCACACAGTTCATATTAATCTATTATAATGATTTACACAAGTGTAATAACGTTTATTTCTTCTTGAAAGATGTGCTTGAAGAAATGTGCTTACTCTTTGTTTCGGATTCAATATTTTTTGCACGAGATAGACTATAATCTACGCACGTGTAGAAAAACGTTTTGTTGTGACAAAAGTTACGAAAGTAGAAAGAGACACCGCGAGCGAACAAATAACAAAATTAAAAACTGTAAGAAGCTGTAAAAAAAGTGTCGACTAAAAAGCTCTTGTAGATCGGCGATGCTTCTCGGAATACAAATCACTCAACGAAAGAAACACATGTTAATTTAGACCGCTGGCTTCAAAACACTTCAATCAGACGGGATGCAACTCGCAGTGTAGTTTTAAATAGACGCAGCCAATAATTTCGACTTCGTCGGTAGACGAATGTTCGACAAGAGCCTTATCGGCGGGCTCTCTATCGCGGGAAACACCGTGCGCTTTGTGCGAGTCTTCCAAGGCGCAGTTAGAGCGATTAGTGAATTTCCACGCGAAGAGAGAGAGAGTTCAACAAACGACACGCGCTCTTGCAAACATATATTTCTTCTCCTGGCATTTGTGACTTAACATAAATTAAACGCACGCTTGAAGGCACCACTTTAGTGCCTAAATAAAATATTATTCGTGCGCGACCGCATTTTTGCCGTAACGTCAATGTTATTATTGCTGTCGTCGTAATTTCCTTTTTTCTAATACAAATCTCAATATAAGTTTCCTATATAAGTTTGATCGCTTGATGTGTTTGCAATTTTTAATATTAATTCATACACAATATATAAAAAATATAAAGATGTGATACAAAATCAATAGTGCCATATTATGAAACAATTATAAGTGTGTTTAAACGTACTTCCCATCGATAAATTAACTCTTTTGCGATAGAAAAATTGAAATATATATTAATAAATTCATCGTTTTACAGGAAGAGACATCTATTTTTAATTTCTAAAACACGCGGCCACAAAATTCCGTTGCGAGCTTTTCGTTATCATCTGGTTCGTCGATATATCGCTAACGAAGACTTAACAGAAAGAGAAAGATGGAAGGAGAAAGAGAATATCTGCAGTCGGAAGATTTCCACTTGCTCGTATCTTTGCGAACGTGGCGAGGGTTCTTCTCCTTGGCATTAGACCCTGGCCGGCCAAGCTCTTTCCGAGTTACTGCCATTTCGATTTTTATAATTTTCTAAGAGATTAGATAAGGCCACTGGTGCTCAAAAGCGCGGCGGAGAAAAGAAGTAGCTAGTAACGAGCCCAAAGTCGGTTTCGCCCGAAATTCCGAAGACTCTCAATGGAGGATCGATATATAAAAAAATAATCACAAGACATTATCGCGGAAGTATTAATTAAGATTAATTAATTACGTAGAATTAATTAAAGTTAAAAAAATGCTTACTATAAAAAACAGTTTGTAAATATTTTTTTTCTTCTCTGTTATGTTTCTGCAATAACTGTAATAAAGTAAAATTTATTTTTGATTATTTGTAAATAAATCAGATATTACAAAGAATTACGAATTTACACGTATTTTAGTAGTAATTGAATAACATATAAATTTATTTCGCGCAAGTAGTTATCCTGTATGAGCAATTAAGTGATTAATTAAGTGATTAATTAATTTCCTCACGCATTACTAAATGTATAATAAAATTATTCCATAGATAAATGTTAATTTCGATATATTTGTGCTAGTAATAAACATATATAATTAATATTGTAAAACTTATTATAAGGACTTTTAATTTCTTTGTTCATTTTATCATTAACTATTTTTACGGACTACAGCGATTATTATCGTTATCGATAACAAAGTTGCAATATTGCATTACACTGATCTCAAAAATAAAGTTCAAGGAGGGAGCAGATGCTTTGTGAACAATATTAATTTGAAAATTCCAGGAATTGTTTAAACAGATAGAAAACAGGACAAAAAATTATCAGAATCAGCACTTTAATCAGACAGATTAAAATATATTGTTTGTACAAATAAATATTTTTGTTATTTGATGATCGCTATTTATTTAACAATATGAGAAAGACACGTATTGTAGAAATTCGACTAATAATAGATTCCTATTTTCAGAAATCTGGAGTTGTGCTCTATCATTATGTTCCTTACGATTTTGTTAATTGTCTAATTGTATTAATAAGACTCTGTTTGTCCGAAAATACGCATGTCACCGTCTTTATTTGCAAATCCCACATTTTCGCAACATTAATGATACACAATGTGTAGCGTGCTGCAGAATCTCATTATCAGATAATGAGTTATTTGCTCGTTTGATACGCCGTTCGGTTGAGATCAACCGTCGCTGCTCGCGTAGCGAGAGCTCGTGATTATTATCGTACATATATTGTCGAGAAACTCAATGGTGTGGCGAAACAGATATCGCGCGTCGCGTTTGTAGAAAGATTTCCGACAAAAATCCCGACGATAAATTATAAACTGCTACGCACGAAACGAACAAAAGAAAGTTTGCCGAGTCGTTCGTTTCGATAAGCGTCCCATACGAATCCCTCGATATCGTTTTTATTTTAAGCGTTTCGCGACTTTAATTTTATCTGAATTATAAGAGAAGAGCAAAGATCGCGCCGTGAAAACTAAATTCGTCTGCCGCCTTTAATCCCTCGTTGAACAAGTGCGTCTCGAAGACAATATGGATTTCACGAATAAATTAATTTCACGATAAATTTCGCGACTTGGAGTACAACGAGTTCCTCCTGGATCTAAACGCGCTTCCTTCTTCAACAACAATAAGTCTCCGAGAAAAAATTCAAATATGAAAGATTTTTTATAAAGAGAAGAAGATTCTAAGAATGTAAACGATTCGAGAATAATTTCTAGGTTTTCTTTCGAGACGTCGAGATGAAAACGTCAAGAATGAAAAATTTCCTCGTTATAACGATGACACATATGTCATCGTTTGGATATCATCGTTCAAAGGGGCCTCTTCAAATAGCAATGATTGAATGACAAATATCTCCTCCATGTATTGCTATCGATCAATGTATAAAAATATAACAGGCGGCTTTGTATGTCAAATGGCGAGTGGAAACGGAAATAGACTGGCCACCGATTGGATAGGTGGGCGAGCCTCCGTGGCGCGCGCTTTCGACGCGATGAATTCTCGGGGTCTCGTCTCGCACACACGCCTTGTGCTTGTTGCTTCTCGTCTCGTGCGGAAGTGTTACGTTGCTGGCGCGTACACACGGTATACGCACTACGAGCGTGTGCTCACACGATGACGCAGTGGCCTTGGTCGATAAAAGACACACACACGGCGGAGGAGAGGAGGCTTTTACAGGCGCGATCCAGGCGCGATTCGCGCATTTTCGCGTTTCAGCGCCGTGTTTGAGATCCCGAAAGCGACAACGAATCGAGATCGCGGCGTATTTCGACATTTCTGATGTTTTCGAAGGTCAAAACGTTTTGCTAAAAGTTTACTCGTCGATGATGACCTGGGTTGATTCGAAGGGCAAGATCTCGTTACTCATTCGCGATTACCCTCGGAAATATCGTCCGCAATATGTCGCGAATTGTCTCTGACCTAGAAACCGTCGATGCATCGATTTTCAAGCAACCGTCATCAATTTTTATTACGCACGCTTCTCACTCGTGGCTGCGAAGATGCAGCGGACGTGAGATACGCTGACGTAAGGCGTAAAGCGATAGCGTGCAAAGAAAGTAAACTTTCTCATGGTATACGCGGACGTTGCTTGCAGTGTAAGGTAAAAAATCTGCTCGATTCGCTCGCCGCGATGTATAGCGTATTACGTGAGAATTACGTAGGTGACTCATAATTCCGTAAAGCTCTCATTTTCTGCTCTAAAAAGTATAGATAAAAAAATATTTTATAACGTGAGATATAAATTGTATTGCATCAGGAATTAATCCAAACACATCCAACATCGAGATTACTATTACTTAATAACTCTAAACTTGTTTTCTCTTTTACGATTACTTTATCGGAGTGTGGACCAATTTCTCTTGCTTAAGTCGTCGAACAAACACACAGGTTATTCGATAAAATGTATCTTTTGCCGATAACGACGGCGCTCGTAAATCGTTCTGTCGAAGGATGTCGCAGGGGAGAGACTGGAGGAAAAAAAAGATAGATTTTAACCTCACGCAATTCGGCAGCTTTTTGCCGAACAATGACGCGCCGCTCTTATTCCGCGTCATTGTTACGAATAAATCTTTTCGATTAATTGAACGATAGCCGCGCATTATGCAACGCGTAAAACGTATAAGGAACGGACGCTAATGCGTGCGCACTGTCGATCTCATAAAAATTGGATTGACGACATAAACACGGAAATTCCATCCATTCATATTTTCTTTCGAATGCAGTGTGGTGATGTTGTGATAGAGGATCGAGCAATCGGAAGTTCGCCGATTAATTCTTGTTTTGTCGACTGACGTGTTGATTTACGCAATCATTCGCTCTGAGATATATTAAAAGTAGAAATATATAAGGAAAAACAGGAATAAATGCACTCTTAAAAACATAAGCGTGATTTTGTTATTAGAATTGACGTTTACATTATCAAAATTCTACACGGAAAAAACGGTTTTGTTGAAAGGTCTAAAAATTTTGCTGAATACAGATCTGAAAATAATTTTTTGTTGATTCATCAAAATAATTTGTCGGAATGTTAAAAGGGATAAGCATTGCTACAAAACGTTTTAATATTCTAGCAATCATTTTGACATTCGCACAAAATTATTTTGATTATTGAACAAAAATTATTTTCAGATCTGGATCCAGCAAAATTGTTCTTTCCATCCATATTTTTTTTAATAGTGTAAATAACTTCAGTAACTAGTAAATTTGTTGTAAAAAAGTTCAAAGAGCTTTATACATATATGGTTTATATTTTCTTTGCGTCATCAAAGTCTAATTTTATATTTAATGTAAGATTTTTAATTTAATAACTTTGATACTTATGTACATATACATGTAATTTTTTTGACAAAATTTTAACTATTTGATTACAGTATTACGCAATTTAAATATTTCAACATAAATTTAACTTCAATGTAGACCACAGTTCCTGCAGTAAAATTTTTCGTTGCAATTTTAAAAAATATATCAGCGAATAGTTTTCTATGGCTTAATAGCCCAAGTTTTATAACTCATAAAGATGAATAAAGATAAGCATGCGAATAAGTGATGGAATGCTGCATCACGATTATTACTTCGCTAAGGTTTCCCGCTTCTATTGGTGGCCTGGGACTGCTGACGTAAAGCGTGAACATCAATTTGCAATTATAGTACCGCGAGTACTTTTCACGATAATCAATTAAGATGCGATTGTTTATGCGAAAATTACACGATAAATATGCATAATGTGCACACAGACACAGTCTTTTGTTATTGTAATCATAAAAATCATTTTTCAGCTATATTGAGCCAGCTTATCGTAATCCATTTCAATTCATCATACGACCTTTAACGCGTCAGGCATGCAGCGAAATTCGATCGATATGAAGATCCTCGAGCGATAATTGAGAGTAGGAAGGTATTAAATTTACGTACCGAATTAGGTTTGCACGGCGGCAGGACTGCGTTCGCGAAAAGATATTACTTGAAAACCAATCGATAGCACTGTAAGCCGCTGTCATTGTATCGCAAGGAGAAAAACGCTCGAGGCACTCGAAAACTGCTCTCTCTAGATAAGTATATATTTTATATAATATATCACTCTCCTAATTTCGTATAACTTTATTGTGAATTTCGTATTGAAGTAACGTCATCCCAAGGAGAATTCCAACAGATACGTTTCAATCGTTGGATATTACTGTGCAAACTGTTCCTCAATCGCTTCATTTATTCTTTTTTCCGCAATACAACGCCCAGTTTAACAAGTCTTGATTAGATCAACATCTAGTTATTCAAATCCGTATGCGCGCGTGAGAGTCGGCAGTCTGCGCTAGAAACTACTTATATCTGAATAAAGCAGTTTTTAATGTAGAAGAAAATTCTCTCCTATCATTTTACTCAAGGTTCACCGTTCAATTATCAAAATTGTGAACATGAAAAAATAATAAAGCATATTTATTCACAATAAAAGATATAATTAATAAAATTTACTTTTGCAAATATAATTTTCAGCTTGCGAATTAGCGAAGCATTCGAAAATTCGTAACATTTAAAAGTCCAGAGTTAATTTCATAAACGGTTTTTGCAAGTCAGCACTTTTTTTTTAAATTTAAAATTATTAATTTAATAATTCTTGTTTGCTATAAGTAGTGCTTATAAATAGAACGTTTTTATTAGTTCGACTTGCAATATTGTTCTTACAGCTGTTTATATTTGCGTCATTGTTGTTTTATTTTTATTCATGCTGAATATTCACTGCGTTTGTATTGCATTTATCAAGAGAAAGAGCATAATTCCTTCGAGACCTTATCGCTGATAACGGAACATACGAGATCGATCGATCGAGGCGCGGCGCCTTCCAGGGTCGTCAAAGATATAATTAATTTGGCCTCTTGTTTGTCAGAGCACCGAAGACAGAAGCCGATACTATGTAGCGTCGTATTGGCGCTGGATTTACCAGGGAATTGATTGAAATTACATTGTATCGAACGGTACCGATACATCGATCGAATTGTATTATTGATATTACCTTCGGATTATGTTTGTTCCCTCGACAATTCCGAACTCGCGGCCTTATGTAACGCCAAACCGTATTAGATGTCACAAACTACATACGATAAAATAATATAATAAAATAATTTTCACGTCTCAAGGAAAAACGAAAATTATCTTTTTTAAATTACATATTACTTTCAAAATAACGCGTGTATTTCTTCGTAATTTCTCTATGAAAAAAAAAATCTGAAAAATTATGGAAAAATACGAGCTAATGACAGGCAGTATTTTACTTAATTTCTGTACGATGCTAAATTTTCCTCTCGCCACTTGTTAGTTACAAATTATACTCGATGAATTAACGTTAAAAAGAAAAATTTTATAAAAATCGCGGTTTTAATTCGATTGCAAGCTAATTAACTCGAAATTTTTCTGAGATTATAAAAAATAATCTCAGAAAGATCACTGCACGCGGCTAGAAATGTGGCTTAAGCACCGTTAAAACTGCACGTGCGACAATAATAGCCTTTGTTGCGAGTGTGCTGCAATGAATCAGCTGTAACGTCAACGAATACGTCGGCGTATTTGTATGACTGATTTATTTGTTTGTTTTGTGTGCATTGAATTTATCAGTTACATCACAAAACTTCTTTCTACACCATGTTAATTATTTTCCACGAAAAACAGCAAAAAGCTTAAAATATAAATCCTGGCGAGACGGAAGGAAGAGCTATCCATCGAGTTTCATAAACCCGAATGTTAATCGAGTTTTCGCTTCTCCCTTAATTCGCTCTCCGAAATAAGATGAGCGTGTCAGCGGGATCACAATTAAACCCGGGTTAACTTTAACTGAAGTGTTTACGGCAACAGGGAGACACGATGAATCGCGGCGTGATGTCGTCGCGGCGAGGGAAACGGAAATTGTCGGTAGAAGTCCCGTGTCGTTCGTCGTCGTTCGCGCGCGACTTTAGCGAGGCCGCGCTTAATTGCGGTGTTGTCGTTTGGTTCTACGGCCTCTCTTTCATTAATTCAATTGTCTTTTATCAGCGGGAATGCTACCGCGGCCAGACCCAGGCCGGGGTAGCATTTGTCCGGTTGCCGAGCGAGAGATGCGTCTTTTTGGCTTTTTTCGGGGAACCAGAACACTTCTCTCCTCATTAATTGTATCGCGGATGCAGAGGTACAACCTGTTGGGGTTGCGCCTGTTCCCTGCGCTATTTATATCAAAAAGAGACCGACGTGTATTCCAGAAGGAGAAAGAGAAAACGAATGAAGTGTCGAAAGTGAAATTGAAACGAGCAGATCTATCTTTAGCATGTATTAGACTTTACCGTGTTTCATCGCATTTGATCTCTCGCGAATGTAATTCGCGAAGAATTAACAGTTATCGACTCGAGCATGCTTTTAAAGAAAGCATCGTTCTTTATGTTTTTTTTAACTTTGTATAATTGAATGCGTTGCTGAAAAGGCTTCAGACATCGTGCCTCTCATTTAAAAAGAAATAGAAGAGCCATCATCGGCTCAATTTCAATTCCTTCAATGTATTGTTTGAAGCAATATTGCTTTTAATAATATTGTAAATTTGTGAGAAATTTATAGATTAAATTTATATAAATTTTCGTTACACTGATATTAATAACGAGATAAAAATCTAAAATAAAAACGAACTTTTTATTTGTAAAACCTAATTCAGGTGTAACTTAATTTAAGTATATTTAATTTAAAGTTCAACCATTATTAAAATGCTCATATAAAAAAATATGTTTCAATAGTTATTTTAAAATAAAGTTTTAAGTTTCAATAAAAAAATGTATATATAGATTTCAAATTCAATATACATATATTATTTTGAAATGTTTTCTCTCGGAGAAAATAAGCAAAATGAAATAAAATTAAGATTAAATTCTCCCAGAGTTTTGTAAAAGCCGGAGAAAAGGAGGGACTCACCTGTAGGCGAGGGACATGCACTGGAACAGCTTGTTCAAGGACGTCTCGATGCTCAGCTGCTGGGAGGTGCTCTTGTCGTTCAACGAACTCGCGAATCTGTTGTGGAAGAAGCCCGGCGGAACGGTGATCGAGAACCTGGCGGTCTGCTCCTCCTGATCCGGCACCGGCACAGCGAGATCGTCCTCGTCGTCCTGCGCCTCGGCCTCGAAGTCCGACACCATGAAGTGGCCCGAATGTATCGCCTCCCGCGAATCCCGCCCGCCATTCCTCTCACGTTTGTTATCGTTGCCGGCGCAGTGAAAACCGCCCTGGCTCGTCATCGCCGATGACGGTGGTTTACGGTACATCAATTCCGCCTGCATCTCGGCACCGATCTCCTGCGGACACGAACGGTTCCCTTCGATACGCGAATTTCATCACGAGTAAGTTTCTATCTCACGAATATCTATCTTTAATCGTTTCACGAATCGCGGCTTGAAATTCGAGCGCGAAGGCATTTGACTGCGGGATTACGAGAGAATATTGACAAATTTTTTATAAATAGTTTGAGCTACATTATATTTAATTTACGCAATAAATATAATGCGTTAAAATAATCAATATATACACGGAGAGAATTTTTTTTTAAATTTACCATGCAAATCATGTTAATTGTGGGACAATATAGTATTTAGGCAAATTTTACTGTGCACTACAATAAATTTTATTGTAAAATTTACCTAAATACTATATTGTCCCACAATTAACATGATTTGCAGGGTAAATTTAAAAAAAATTCTCTTCGTGTAAGAATATTAATTAAAAATCGATAACAGTATAAAATATTAATTAAGAACCTATTTTTTCTCTATTTTTTCTGTAATTGAGAGAGAGAGAGAGAGAGAGAGAGAGAGAAATATAAGAAAATGTGTCTCGCAATATGAAAAAAGGATTAAGCAGCTTTGTTTCATTGGTTAATTAAACGATCGAAAAGCTTTATAGCTCACTATATTGTAAATAATTGCGGCGACACAGATAAAAAAATCCCAATCGAAGAATTTTGCTCTATCTATGTTTTACAGTTTAAAATGGGATCGCCGAAGTGGTGTGTTAGCACAGGATTAGGCGACCTCGTTTCAAGAAGTTGCGTACAGCAAAGCCTGAGTGATAGAAGAAAGCCTCAACAGACACAACAAGTCCCAGTTATCGAGCCTCTGATAAATTCAGCTCAACGCACCCCTTTTTTCTAAATATACCATCATATTTGAGTATATCACTGGGAGGGAGAAGGGGAGAAAGAGAGAAAGTGTACACACTCACACACACATACTGTACAGCATAAGCTATAAAAATTCGATACGATAGCATTAAACGCATTATCGGTATGAGTATCGATATTATAAAATCGATAACACACACGAGCCTAGGTATTTTCGTAGACGTGTATAAACAAGCATGCGTGCTGCGATACTACCTCGACAATGATTATTACGAGATTTAAACATTTTCAAACATCACACGGATATATATAGATTAGAAATAAGCAACGTACGCAATACACCTGCAATACAGTGCGATAAAATTAAAGTCGCGCGAAGAAAAACTAAAAATTTGTCTTCGCGCGACTTTAAATCCTTTAATTGTATTCATCTGTTCGTCCGCGGATTGAAGGAACACGGAGAGCCTCCAAGTGGCGCCAGGCTTCCTGCCGATACACGCGATCAACAAGCTCATTTCGCGGTAGCACGTGGCCCGGACGGCACCCCTCCCCTTCCCCCCCTTCTTTCCTCGGCTGGTTGAACGACCGTATGGCTGAAAACGCATGGGCAGTCTTTTTTTACGAGCGGAACCGTCGATTTCTTTTACGAGCAGCCACGTAGAGAATTCACAATGGTCAGTGACTTCTCGGGAGCTATATATAAAATTTAAACGCGACCGAGACAATTCATCGCGGCGACGCGACGTGTCCCACGTCCTACTGACGTACATGCACGATCAAACGTTAATCCAGCCGGTGATGCGCGACCAACTTTTTCACGTGAGACTTATCACGTGTGAGAATTTTATCTCTATTTACTTTACTTCTTAAACTTCGTTTTAGAGTAGTTACGAATTAAGAAAATTTTCTTTTCTGAGGTAGAACTTCTATCTCGACAATTTTGTACAAATAAATTCATCGCGTCTGTTCTAACTGTTCTAATTTTCTGGAGTAATGTACATGTCAAATTAATTACTTTCGAATATTGTGACCAAATGTTTACCAAATCTTTAATATATATTAAGACTAACAATATTAAGAAGATTGTGCTTGTAATATTCACGCGTTAATAGAATTATGAATTAATGGGAAAACATGTCGCTATTTATAGTGTTAAAGTGGAATCTCGTTATTTATTTCAGCTCGGAGAGCTAATCTCAAACATTCGCATGTGTGAAAATACGCACTTCAGTCGATCCTGTACACAAAACATTTATTTGAGGTTGCACCATGTTTCTTCTTATATTTATACTGTGCGGATGTAAAATATAAAAGAAGCACAATCGTCAATCAATTAAAATATATTTAATTTATATATTTAATATATAAATATATTTAATTGTAAATCAATTTTAATGCTATCAATTTTAATATTGCGACTGATATTCATACTAATATAAATTTACATATTTAACTCTCATTTGGTCTCATTTAGTCGATTATTAGTAAGACACGGACTCGCGACTTGCGTCACGTGGCGTCATCGTAATTCGGTTTTAATGGCACCGTTGTTATTGATGTATCAATAACAATAATCGTATTGAATATACGGCTCTCGATCGCTCTACTCCGTACAGCGACCCTAGATTTCATCTCTGCATTTCCGAAACTTATCGCTTTATCATAGTTTTATCACATAGCTAACACGCTATAAATAGAAGGAGTCGCGGCAGTTAGGAGAAACCGTGTAGCTTCGAGTAGGGCCAAGCTGCGTGGCGACGAAACAAAAATTTTTCGGGCGAAGCGATTCAATCCCGTGACCTATTAACACCGATTGCGAGTCACATGCGTGATCGTGCATGTGTCTGAGAATCGAGGCATCAACCCGTTATAACCGGTTTCCTGCAGGTCCTTCCTATTACATATTATCCAGCGTTGAATTCCGGTACTTCAGCAGGAAGTAACATCTAACAATAAAATTCTTTCGGACACGATCGTACAACTTGACGGACTTGTTACCCACTTGATTGTTCGATTAACCGTTAAGAAACGCAGGTCTCTCTTTCTCTCTCTCTCTCTCTCGCCTGCCTTTTGTTCCCTTCAGCAATCTTACGCAAGTACTTGCGACAGCTCACGCGTCATTTTCCAGCGAGCGGATTTAGCGTTACGGCATTGGATGTCGAGAAATGTGAAGGTGTCTCAACGTTGCGAATCGTTGCGCACAACATGATACATGGAAAACGATAATTTATGCACGTAGCACGTATATGTCCCTTCGCGTATCCGCGTTTCATTTCGATAACGTATAGTGATTTCGTTGGGAACTATTCGCGTCTTTCGCTAGAAATATCTGTAACGTCGGAAATACCATTGCTGCAAATTGTGGCGAGACTCTCTTAAAAATATGATTTTAATTTTCAGCATAAGATCTTACGTTAAACATTCTTTGAAGATAAATTTTCTATAACAAAAATAATATCGAGAAGTTGCCATTTGCGTTCCAAATTTAATATTATATATTTTTGTAATAGATTTCAAAATTAAAATTGTATTAAAAGAAAATTAGTAGTGAAAAAAACGTCCGGATTTTAAAGTTTCAGTTTTTAATATATCAAATATGTCAATCGATTAATGTATAATTAATTAGTACATCATAATTATTAAATTTTTTTATATACAGTATTATTTCTTAATTTTCTCTCGACGAACCAGTCAAAACTGGTGCACTATTCCGTAACACGAGCCGGTAACTTTCGCTATCTACAAAGTATTATGCCCTTTGACCCTCTCGAGCCGGCTCTATCGCAGGGTGAAGTCAAATGCCTTATCCGTTCGCTCGTTGACACTCGTTGTATGAGTGCGCGCGTCGCTTAGATTTCGGATCGTGTAGATAAAAAAAAGACTAGTATTTATAACAAATATTGTATAAAGCAAGGATCTCGTTTTACGTGTAAAATTAACGTTTATCTACTTTCAAGATCTTCAAAAGTGGTCACGTAAATAACGAATACGGATTTCCAAGATCATACGGAATAAGGTGAAATTATAAGTTAATCAATGGAGAGAGAATTTATAGGTGTGAAGTAAAATTTACACTTCACTGATACTGGTGCGCGTTAATAAAATTTTGATTTACGGTTCAACGACGATGTTTTTCTGGCATTTCTCCGTCTGATCCAGCGAGGAAAATCGGACACTGTTATTTCTGTGACTTATTGTTAGATCGAACGGAATAAAATCTCGTGGTTCTGATTTAAGTATAAGTTTCTACATTTTTCACTAGAAAAGATTATGCTAAATTAAAAAAAAATCATTTTTAGCGTATTATTTAATATTTAAATTGTGTTATGACTCGTAGATATTTAATAATAAAATTCGATCAATGTAATAATTAACCGCGCATGCGCACGTGTTTGCATATTATTAATATATTATTAACATATTTATTGAGACAAGCAAATTAAAAAAAAAACTAAACAAATTCAATGGATCTAATAATAATGCAATTCTGTAGCTCTGTATCAATTAACAGCCCATATAAAAATCAAATTTTTCTAACAAAGTGGAATAACCCGCTGTCGATTACACATATTATGCAATTATGAATTATGTTACATTAATTTATCTAATTGATAAACGGTTTATAACAAAGAAGAATACAAGTTAAATCAAGATTAACTCAGATTATTATATAAAATGACGCCATTATTTTTAATCCGTTCGCGTGATTTATTTCCAGCATCATCCACGTATTTTTTTTGTATTTGTACAATTTAAAAACAGATTTAGATTTATTCGAGACTGCTATTCCAATTGGACACAGAATTCTAAATTTTGCTTCGCGAAACGTTCGACACAATTTCAGTTTTTTTTTAGTACGTAAAAAATATAAAAAGAAATCACAAAGGTGTGACATCTGGCAGAGCTGTTTTTATCATTATTCTCTTAATTTCTCCGCTATGATTCGCCGAAAGCGCCAATAGGCGAGCGCGCGCGTCCTAATAATATTTACAAACAGAAGTAACTCCCATAATAGCAACAGGCTAAGGAATTTCTACCTGCCATTGTGTTCTGAGAATTATTAGGGCTGAAAACAACGGTCGGGCACGCGTGTTTACAATGCGTCGCTCCCCTAACGCAATTTCGCGCCGGAGCAAATGGAGCGAGAAAACGGGAAATTTGGTAGTGGCATGGTATACACATGGTGATTGTTAATCGGAGGCTCTAAGGACAGTGTTCCTATTTTACATTTTCTTAAGTGGAGAGAAAGTAAGCTTCGAAATATTATGCGCGATCCATTTTGTCAGCTAATTTTTGTCGGACGATTTTAAGACAAAACTTGAAAACAATTTTGACACCAGAACCGATTTTAACATACATTATTCCCATAATTTAAATATATATTATATAATGTATACATATATTTAAAAAAAAGGGAATCAGAGAGAAAAATTAATCAATTTAATCGTATACATGTAAAGAAAATCTCGAAAAATGCACCGTTATAAATTTTATAAAAAAAAATTACAGACCAGTCATTTCGATTGCTTCGATAATTCTAGCATTAAATATAAGATCGCACTATACCACCCTGAGATAAAACTATCTCAAGCGCAATGGAACGTCCGTTTCAACATCTCGAAAGCTTTTGCGTCTCCAACAAAGAAGCGCGAGAAGGAGAGGAAAACAAAGAATGTACAGCGTGTGTTATAGCTAAACAAACGGATCCTGTCGACGGGTATACACACGACGAAGGCGACGGTGTACACACGACTTCCCTCTCGCTCCGTAATTTTTCATGTATCGCCATCACCCCCCCCCTTCCCACCCCTCCACCCCGTTCGGATACTCTCGCTCTCTCTCTTTCTCTCTACGGGACGAAAATTGTTCGATGCGCTCGTTGAGAATCGGCTCAGGCGTATCGCGGCCTCTCCTTATCGCGGTCGCGTCATTCCGCGCTCTGCGCCACGATTTTTATCGCGAGCCCGGCCTCGCGTTTCATGGAAATCGCCCGCACGTTTCTCTATCGTCATTACTGCTGCTGCTGCTGCTACTGCTCTTTCTCTCTCTCTCTCCCCCCTCAGTCTCTCTCCCTCCGCCCACGGATCAAATAGCGCAATTAAGCCTCCGGCGAGTCGTTATCATTCCGCGTTTCGCGTCCACGACCCCGTCCCCGCGACGATCGGGAAAAACGGCGCGCCCGTACGCGACGTCGCGCACCAGATGTTGGTCCAATCCGCGGAAACAATCCGCGTACGAATGCGACGTATGTGCGCGCGCGAGCGCACTTGGCGATGAATTGCGTACGCACATGTATGTGTACATGCACACACGCGCTCGAAGACAAGTTGGGACGGACGAGCCTCCAACGCGCACTCACCTTCTGGACCTATCTCACGACTCGTCGTCACTCGTTCCCCGTCGCCTCACGTCGTCGATGTGGCCGCGACAGAGAGACACACGGGCCCCGGAGGGGGCTCGCTTCGAAAAAAAACTATTTTTTTCTCCCCCGATCCCCCGTCGTCGGCGCGGGGGGGATCAACACACGCTCGGCAGCGCTGCGCGCACACACGACACACACACACACGTACACACACGCAACGCACGGATCCTCGGCGCGTTCGCGCCGTCGTCTACGACGCTACGCCCGCGCTCTCGGTCGTTTCAGTCGTCTGGGCGGCGGGACGCCGCGCCCGGACGCGGCCCGTACGCGCTACGCTTGCACGGCACGCACTCGCTCATAACGGCACGGCGACGCCATTTGCGCCGCGAGTCCGCATACTCCGCATTGCCCACAATCGCCCGCGATACACGACTGGTCCCGCGGACCCACCACAGCGCGCCGACACCACGCGCGCGCCACTACGCACAGCTGACGGAGGAATGCGGCCGCCGAGCCAATGGCGGCGCGCGCCGCGCCCCCCACCATCGCGCGGCGGCCGCCGCGGCGAGGCGCGACGCGCTTTTTTCGAATCGCCGGCGGCGCAGTTCGCGAGTAACGCGCGGAACAAATGTTCGAATTAGAGCGAGAGTTTGGCCCTCGAGCAAGAGTTTGGCAAGCTGTTACTATACTTTCTACAAATTGGTTCAATTAAATTTGTGCTCGATGACGATAGAATCGATCGGATGGAATTCTCTTCATCTCTGCAGTAGCGTGGAACCGCGTGGAACGTATACACACCTGACTTCACGTTCCTAATCGTCCATGTTCGAAATTTGCCGAAACTCGACTTACTTGAGGTATCTTAGCTCTAGCTCGAATGAGTTGTATAATTGTTCAAACAACAGAAACATTTGTGATACTTGTGAAGCTTGAAAAATTTGTACAGTTATTAATGAGACACTTCCATGAGCCATTAGAATTGCTGTATGTATGATGAACAAGTACGTATATGAAATAATGTTTATAGATTCTCGTTTGATCGTAATTCGTCAAGTGAATCACAGTATATGCCGTTTTTAGGTTATAATTAGTATTATTGCACATTAGAGTTATAAATAAGAAAGAATATGTTTAATAATTTTATATTCTGTCTGATGAAAAAATTCTTTAAATTATCTTTTATTAATTTAAGCGATAGATTAATTATTGTTAAGTAAGAAATTTTGACTCGGCCAAGGAACGAGCAATTGGTGTAATGTGATATGAAATCACAAATAAAAATTTTTAAGAAAATTGAATGTCAAAACGTTTTAACTGCACAGAGTCTTTTTCAGTTGAAATAAATGAATAAAATTAAAACATCAGTAAAATAAATTAAACATTTAAGTAAATTAATACAAAATCTGTAGAAGTAAAATTTAGTCAATAATAAAATTTGGAAAGACTAAAAACAATGGACGTTGTTAAATAAAGTTATGTTACATATTATAATCGTTTGCATACTGCAATAGCACGGCGCATGTTGTACCTTCCTAAGTGAAACATTTTCAGATCTGTAGGTTGATCCGCTTGATGATCGTTATGCGAATCGATGATCCAAAATCAATATCTACGTCAAATATTTTTGTTCTTTTAATTACGTGTAACGTTCACCGGGAGCGGTATATCAAGAAACAGCTATTAACCGAGAGCTGTTTGCCGTCTGTAATTGTTCGAAATTGCTGTAGGTGGTGACGGATAATATAACTAATATGTTAGATGTTAATGCTCTAGAGCATCAAGAAACAGCTATTAACTGAGAGCTGTTTGCCGTCTGTAATTGTTCGAAAGTGCTGTAGATGGTGACGGATAATATAACTAATGTGCTCTAGAGCATTAACATCAACATATTAGTTATATTATCCGTCACTACTTACAGCACTTTCGAACAATTACAAACGGCAAACAGCTCTCGGTTAATAACTGTTTCTTGATATACCGCTCCCGGTGAACGTTACACGTAATTAAAAAAACAAGAATGTTCGACGTCGATAATGATTTCGAATCACCAATAACGATCAAGCGGATCAACCTACGGATCTGAAAATATTTCGCTTAGGGAAGGTACAACATGCCGTGCTATTGCAATATGCGAACGATTATAATATGTGACGTAACTTTATATCATTGTTTTTAGGCTTTCCGAATTTTATTAACTAAATTTTACTTCTATAGATTTTGTATTAATTTATTTAAATGTTTAATTTATTTTACTGATGTTTAATTTTATTCATTTATTTCAACTGAAAAAGACTGTGCAGTCGAAACGTTTTGACATTAAATTTTCTTTAAAATTTTTATTTGTGATTTCATGTCACATCACACCTTGCTCGTTTCTTGGCAGAGTCAAAATTATTTATTATTTAAACGAGCTAGTAAATGTAATTTTAATTAATTATTATTATTCTGATGATATTTGGCTTGAATAAAAGAGAAATAAAACATCAAAATTAACTTTTTAAAATTGTACGAAAAAAGTAGTTAATATATTATTAATATATATGATACTAATGATTATAAAATTATTTATTTTGGGGATATAAATAATTACCTCGTGATATCTTTGCAAACTTTATAATTACAACTTATCTGTTTTAAAATCTTAAAGTTCTTATTATAGTCAGAAATAATATAATATAGGATTATGTTATAATGTACCTACAAATATCGGTTTTTTTTTTACACAAAATGTAAATATCGGTAAAATATTACGTATATCTGTATGTAATTAAGATACACCGGACTATCAGTGATTGCTTATAAAGAAATATAATTTCTTACGTTAGTAAATTATTTTCTACGAATTATTCGTTCGTTAAGAGCTAGAGAATTTGATTGATCGTATGAATCGACAAGTCTTATGAGTGAATGACTTTAGAAAAACAATATTCTGCAATCTTATAAAAGAGTTAATCGAAATGCAAAGTAAAAAATTTTTTTTTGAAAAATTTTTTGGATAAAGGCTACTTATTGCTAAGTAATTATTAACAAATAACAAATACCTTAATCTATGGTGCAGCTATCCGTTTTTACATCTCGAAATTGTATCGATACAATTATTTTAGTATCTTTGTCATAATTTTTTGGTAACAATTAATAAAAGAGCCATAATATTTCCATAGAGACACAAACAATTAACAAATGCATTTTTATATATAGCGCAAAGACTGTGTATTGTCTAATTGCCGTATCTTCGTTACGACGAGAACTTATTCTCAGAATTCGATGTCCCAGCCGGAAAATTCGTCCGGTGGAATATCGCGGTCAGGTGGATATCTTTCGAAGTTTCGCGTGTCCAGCTGATGTCGTACCTAATGCACAAATAAAATGGATGTTAATACAAATATAAGATTTTTGTAAAAGATAGAAAAATGAAATATAGTGCGTTGCTTAAATAGGTATATTAGCAAAAGTGTAAGCTCTTTAAAAGAGTAATGTACCGTTGGTACAATGGGAGCCGGTAGAGCCAATCTTTGAAGAGCCTGCCAGTTGAATCCGGAAAACCATCTGTTAAAAGAACAAAGATAAGAAATTATTATATATTTTATTTTTATTACACAGGAAAGCGTCTTTTAAAATTTTACAGAATAGAAAATATCTTCTAGAAATTTACAAAATGTTGTTTCACAAAGATATTTGGACGTGAAACGTTTCTTAAAGACGTTATGTACGTATATAATACAATTTATAAGATGTCTTTGAAAATATGAAGCATCTTTCTTTATCTTTTTTATATAAAAAATTTTTTTCTTTTCTTTTTAATTTTTAAACGTCTTACTTGTGATCGCGAATGTCCTGTATCCCGTTTCGCTGGTAACCCAATCGTTCCGAGGCGTTCAAACGGAGTAGCTTCTTGATGAGATTATTAGCGTTTTTGTTGACGACGCTCGGTATACCGACCATCTCGATACCTTTTAGAATATTGTTGTAAGTCGTCATGTGATCGGATCCTCGGAAAGGCGGCTTACCAACGAGGAGCTCGTGCGTTAGGATGCCGAGGGCCCAATAATCCACCGCCCTGGCGAAACGGAGAAGTAAACGCGGTGAAAAAAAATATATATAGACAAAATATATACAAATATAGAAAAATATAGGCACAATTATAATGAACGCTGGAACTTGTTTAAAAATCTCTTACCTGTCGTGGCCTTTATTCAAAATAATTTCCGGTGCGACGTACTCGGGCGTACCGGCAAACGTCCACGTTTTAGCCGGACCGATTTTCTTACTAAAACCAAAGTCCACCTACGGAAGAAAGATAACGTTTCTTTTGTAGAATTTCTCGTCTTCACGTGAATCATAATAGTATCAAAATGATTTAGTATTTATTTCGAAGGAGCTTTAATAATCGCGTAATAATTGGAAGTTAAAGCCGATTAATAATCGAGTGTCTCACTAGTTTCAAATAGCCGCGCGAATCGAGCATAAGATTCTCCGGTTTGAGATCCCGATAAACGATATTTAGTGAGTGAAGATGATCGAGGGCTTCTACTACACAGCCGACCATAAACTGTGTAGTGGCGTCGTCGAAATTACGCCTCCTTTGAAGGGTCGTCCAAACGTCTCCGCCGAGACACACTTCCATGAGGAAATAGACGTACTTGTTGTCCTTGTACGTTTGATAAAGTCTGAAAAAAAGCGAAATTATATTAACTTTGAGCCAAAAAAAATTAATATTAAAACTTAAAAATCCTCTCATTACTTAATTAAAATTTATTGGGCAATTATTTCTTGTGTGAACTTGCCCGTATATTTTTATTATAAATTTTACGCGCGATTATACTAATTATTTTTACAATTTAACAACCTTGACGTACATATACATTGCGAAAATTTCAATGACATAACGTTAGTGACTTACTTGCATATGAAAGGAGAATCGCATGCTTGCATAATGTGTTTCTCGTTCAGCACGTGTTCTTGCTGTTGCTGCTCGACCATGACCTTCTTCTTGAGTTTCTTCAACGCGAAGCTCTTATTCGGGTCGGACTTGAGTGTGACCAGTTCGACACGACCGAATCCACCCACTCCCAATGTTCCCCTCGTCTCAAAGTCGATCAAGGTTAAGCTTGCATACTCATTGGTCCACTTCTTCGGGGTCAACGAACGCTTTTGCTTCTCGTACTCCGCCAGCCAGTCCTTGTTACGAATCTCATCCAGACTGCCCAGATAGTTCAGGAATGACCTGGCAATTTTTTTGAATTATTATGTTTTATATTTGTAACACATATAAAAAGAAATCTTAAAATCATTGTCCATCAATTAAATATGTATATCTCTTTGTAAGAAAGATAAAATAATAATTTTATCGTAATAATACATAGAATAGCAACAATGTTGAGGGGTAAGTCTTAATTTTTTCAAATAAAGTAAAACAAAGTAAAATACGTTAAAAACAGAGTAAAATAAAACGTTATCATTTTAAATAAATGAGATATCCCAAATTAAATAATTCACCGATATTCCATAGAAATTAACATAGCTCTTGCGATTTATGTCTTCGAGCTTGTTTAATTTTTGATTATAGATAATTTGATCTCAGAGATTCGTTAATTATACAAGATAACACTTGTGGATTAATCGAACTCACGTTCTGTCCAGTGTCAAGCATTCGACACCAGGTGCAAGCGCGATCGCGTTGGCACGTCGCTCACCCTCGTCGTAGAGAGCCAATTCGCCGAAATAATCTCCTTTGCCGAGGACCACCAGTTCCTCCTCGCCTCCGTACTCGGTGTCTTTGGTGATACGTACGTTGCCGCCGCTGATTATATAGAACTTCTCACCCTTCTCGCCCTGCTTCAATATTTTCGTGCCAGCTTGGAAAAATTCCTGCGAGCATCATCACAACGGTCTTTTTTTAAGCCGTATTATAAACTAAGCGGCGAGCGCGCGGGAGTGGTGTCTCTCAAAATACTTCTCACTTACAACTCTTATGAGATCGGATATCTTTGCGAGCACATGGTCTTTGGGTTCCGGAAGTTTTTGAAGAACGGAAACGCGTTGGAGGAAGCGGATGTTGCCCTCCAGCTGTTCCTGAGCCGATCTCATCATTACAGTTAAAAATACTGATCTGTCGAGCACCCATACTTTACCAGCTTTCTTTACTGAAATGACACAAAATTGAACACTTCTTAATGTTTGTTAATTTCCAAGAAAATTTCTGAGCTTTGAAATTTCCATCACAATATGTTTAATAATGAAAATTGACTAGTTTCTATGTACGTTCTTATATTGCGCTTTATAAAAATTTAAAAATTTTCTGTGTACTTACATATGATATAAACTTAAATGTGTTTAATTTTCAAATCAAATTTTTATTAATTTTCCATGTGCTTACCGCTAATAGATCGAAGTCTTTTCGTATTGTATAATAGAGCGATTTCTCCGAATGCAACTCCTGGTCCGAAACTTCTTTGGAATTTGTTCCCTTCGTAAATGTCGAAATCTCCTTCCGCCGATACGTATAAGTGCGAGCCTGTGAATAAATAAATACGCTTATAAATATTTGCATGTAATCACGTATATTAATATTTATTAAGTAATCCTTTTGTAAGCGATATATATTTCTAGTATTTATGTATAATAATACATAAAGTTTAGGCGTACCTATATCGCCCTCTCGGATAACCAGAGTATTAGCGGGTATTTGTTTGGGATACATGGCAGAGACGAGTGCTTCCACTTGATTTTCTTCAAGATTACCCAGAAATTCATTCTCCAAAATAGCCCTTTTAATTTGCCTCGCACTCCTAAGTAAAAAAACGATGATATTATGTATTTTTCTTTTTTCCCGACGTTCTATATTTTGCCGAAAAGAATGAAATAAAGTGAAATCTATATACGATTAACAGGAAACAATTACTTTATGTACAATTAAAAAATTATAACCTTTGATTTAACATTATTTCTTCGTTAATTATTATATTAGTTTCAATGCTTACCATAAATTATATTATCGTTTAGTATTAATATTTATTATTATTTCCTCGTCACCTGGCGTCTTTCTCGTATACGGGCGTCGGTGCCGAGGGTGGCGTCGGTGTTCTTCCGATGACGCCACCCCTTGGATTATTCACGTGTTGTTCGCCATTGTTCACAGCAGCCGCGTCTTCTAATCTGGACTCTTCTCGATGTGGCGGTAGATGATCGACATGATTGGCATCAGATGGCGGAGACGACACTATGACTTTCGTGAATGATGTGGATGATGCAGACGATGATGGAGCAGTGCCATTTACAGCTAGTGTGGGTAAAGTACCAGGTAACGGACGTATCTAATGGAAATTAAGGTAATATTTTAGTAAAAGAACCTTTTTATCTTCGAACGCGGGACAAACTTTTTAATCAAGAAAGTTAACTTTTACAAAATTATGAAATACGAATCTTTCTATAACGATAAGTGACTCATTCATAAATTACGTTAATAAGACGTACGACGCCTATAGTGAAGCTGGTAGATTCCTCGTAGCCTGGCAGAGGGGTGAGATTAATGCTACCCCTCTGCCCGAGGATGTTGGCCCTCGGGAAGCACGAGAACCTCATGTTATCTTCGTCCAACGCATGTCCAAAGCAAATTCTTTTGACGCCTGGAAAAAGAAACCGTGTCCCTTTAATATTCGTTTTGACCAAATCTTCACGAAATATTATGTGCAGCAAAATTAAATATCTTAATATTTCTTGTTTTATTTAATATAATTGCATCTCTATCGATAGCATGCCTAATTAATTTACGACTAATTAATTTTTTTGACACAATTATTTCAACCATGATATTTAACATTAGAGAAGAGCTTCTTCGTTAGTTCGTCGAAAATTCAAAGTCTCGCAGCGCGGCGGTCTAATCATTTTCGCGCGGGGCAATTAATTTAACTAAATAGACAAGTTAATCGAGAGGCTAATTTGATCTCTGACGTCTAAGATGGTTCGTTAATTTTTTTTCACCGTTTGATACATTATATCACCCGACATATCTCGCTAATAACTAATTTTCTTTGTCATTTCGAAGAACCGTTTAATTAGGTTGATAGTTATAATTGAGCGGGACACGTAATGCCTGCAGGACGATTATTTCGGTCACTCTCATGACACTTCACTCACTCGTGTCACATTTCTTTCTCCGTAGCGGCACTTAGCAGGTGATTATTCTTCGATATCGATTCACGCGGCGGTCACTCATGATGTCCGCTCGACACTCGCGATTCCTAACGCCGAGCGTTCCGACTCCGTTCGGATCGCGTTACGCTCATCGCACAACTACTCCACTTTTCGTGACGGCGCAGCTCTTTATTTTTTCACGCGACTCGATCTTGCCGCGACAGCCGATTGCTACCACACCAGTCACATGCTTATGCTAATGGTGTGTTTGGTGCACGTGATATATTGTGCCTTGACGTCACAATGCATTAGCACATGCTCATGATGAGAATATTCTCGTCTTTACCACAGGCTACCCGATCATCCTTTTCTTCTCGTTATGGTTTCCAGTTACGGCAACTCTTCTGGAACGGAGCGCGCTATAAAGATATGCTGACGACTTCGAAATGCATTATAAGTATTGTAATAAATGAATAAATAAATAAATTTGCGGTCGTACGGTTTCAATTTGCCCTGTCAAATTTAATATTTCTTATTATTCCGCGATGGCTCATATAAATTAATTCCGTGTCCATAAAATGCGGTATAAAAAGATTTTATAGATTTATCGTGAAGATTTTAAGCCTCCCGTCAAAAAAAAATTATTTAAATAATAATTTTGTGTTTCGTTTTCTTTTTGTAATATATCTATATTAAAATAAATATGTTTACAAAACTTGGTTTGATAAGCCGGTATCATTGATGGGTTTTTTTCAGTTACTGCTGATTCATATCTAGAATGTTCTATAAAGTTACATGACTTCTTCTACATATATATTCAAATTGCTTGCCAAATTGTAACATAAGAATATCTTATTCTTTACTAAATTCTTTACTAAATCAATTCTCTACTAAAAGCTGAGAGCCTCGCAACCGTCGTTCTCTTCAGTAGCGCTCTTTCGTAGAAGAACCGCGACAAGACTCGTGCGTATCTTGTGATATCACTCGATGATCCAGGCCACGTTGTTGTTGATTTTGTTGCAATGCAAATGTAACACAGTGATTCACTCGGTTTTACTAGAATCTTTTGCAAGGTGCACGTTACACTGTACTCTATTCGCTTCTAATCTTTCGGCTATTGTTTCACGAGGCGTCACTCTTCATTTATCACCGATATGCAAACAGCGCAGGAATCTCGAGGTGATATTTTTTTCGATCAGTATCCATTTTTTACGATGCTTTAAAAAAGCCTCGGTTATACCAATTATTGCTATTTTGCGACTTTGATGCAAAATGACTTTTCTTCTATCAACATTAGAAGAACAAATTATTTTCGGAATCTATGAAATTCTAGTCCTGAATAGCACTGAACTACAGTAACTGAATAAGAAAGAGATCATAAAATTTAAAATTAACTGGAAAATTTTGTTATTTGTTTTCTGCATTCGTGAAAACAAATAAAACTTTCCAGTTAATTTTAAATTTTATGAGCTTTTTCATCTTTTGACAATCGTCCATAATTAAAAGAATTTTTATTTTTAATTATTTTTAAGGAAAAAATCTTTACAAATTTTTTCGCGGGCAATACGATTCTGCTCTCCATATTGAGTTTATCAGTTATCAAACATTATATACTTATCATACGCTCTATACGTTTCCATAAGATTTCGAAACAGTCCTTCGTTACGTTACTGTTAAAATATTATGATAATTTCTTAAATAAGAAGTCGCAAAAGTATCTACGCACAATCTTAATTCGAAACGTCGTATAATTCTCTAAATGATGCATGGCCTCCTTGTACGGATGCAAGGTCGGCTCATATCGGATTGTACGCACTATATTGGGACCGTGATAACGCTATTTGATTGAACATACGAGCAAACGATTGCCCAAACCCTAAATATAGCGCATCTGTTGAGCATTTGATCGTTGCGGCACGCATGATAAACTGCGTGCGCGATCAATTAATTAACAAGTAATTTTCTACGGAAAGATTCTTGAAAGATTCACTGAATTTATCGTCTCTCCCCGTGAAACCGTGTTAATGAAAAAGAAGTGTTTCCGAAACTGTTTGTGATAGGCAAAATTGTGTCAGATACGACTCGCGAGCAATTGCATCGCTCGTGAAGTAATTGAATTTAAGCCATGTGAGATCCTATCGCGCGTGCCGAGCTACAAATATTATATAACTATAATTAACGAAGCGATACTATCGCGTTGTTCATTATCCGAGCAGGCAAATCACGCGTTTTGCCATCGCGTCCAGAAATCAGCGATAAGAAAAAAGTCTCGCGCTTCCGGTATCGCGTAATGCACGAACTAATTGGACGGCTTTTATGTAACAGAAAAATGTCAAAAGAGTCGAAAAACCACCTCAGATCTCGTAATTGAATGGAATTTTTGAAAAAAAAAATTGTTACTCTTTGCATGCAGTAACAAAAATTTACAGCGCAATAAAATAAATAGTTAACTCATTAATTGTCGGCCGTAAAATAACTTTACAGTATAAATACGTAAATGTATTCGCATTTTCGTAAATGATAATGTCGGTCTAAATAATTGTTTCCTTTCTAAAATTTCATTTTTGCGTTGAATTTGAAAGCATAATATCGTTCTTTTGACTCGATACATATTATAAATGATGCCAATTTTGACACAAAATAATTATAATCGACACTAAAATTTTTTTATGTAATAACTGCCGTTTGCATTATAATATATATTTGTTTTAATTATCGTTACTTGTTATTTGCCTTTCGCGTCGTAATAAATAATCACTGTAATAATAATATAATAAAATCAATATAATAAATATTTTATATTCGTGGCGCGTTGCAGTGTATACCTATGTTATGTATTATGGAGGAAAAATTCCAAGACGAGGAAAATGATCGATTATACGCAATTCCATGCTTCTAATGCGAAATAACATTTCCTGTCTCTGAAATGGCGACCATGCCTCGTTAACGGCTCGGAATTTATATGGTCTCAGGGGGAATAACTGCGATTCGCGTCTGTGCGACGATGCGCTCGACGATGGCCTGCCAGCGCGTTGCGCGACACTTTTTTTCGCTTTGGCTTTCAGCTTAGCTGTTTATGTAAAAATTGCGAGGTCGCGAGTCGCGGAAATGACGGGAACGTAACGATATTATAATCCGTTGCACAATACGCGCCTCGGTGTCGATTTCCCTGACGGAAAACACACTGGCAATATTTAAGTGCACGTACTGTCGCGGTTGCGAAAAACCAACGACAAGGATAAATGACGTGCATGATATAATTCCCGTCGTGTTAAACTTTGAAATATTTGAGCGAGTGTAATTTTTAAATCGAACGTGTTCGTGAACGATAATTGATTCGAATTTTAATAATTTACAAAATACTTCTTGAAACTTGAGCATTTTCCTTCTAACGTACAATTTTTTAATTTGATTTATTCTTAATAAAAATATAATTTAGTTCCTTTTATTTTAGAGATTTTTTTTTAAACGGTTTTTTTTCTAATATTTATTAAAGTCATTTTTATTAATAATATAATATTTAAAATATATTTATCCAAAGGTTAATTTTGTTTGCAAATTTGTAATCATAAAGAACTGAGTTAAGAAGATATAATTTAGTTTAAGGGGTCAAGTATTTTTTAAATGATTTTCATACATTTTACATTTCTTTCGATAATTATGTAAAGATCCTTTTCTCGTGTTAACATGATAATGAGTTTCCAGGTTTAGACTTTGTTACTTCACGTGATGATATTTTTATGTTTTGCAAACATTTTACAACGTAACGCGAAGATAACACGTGCTGTATGTATAAGTGTGTTGAGGTAACGAGAGCGCGATTGAGCGTTGCCCAATGTTTTACCGATATATTTGCGAAGCGGTCTGCGTACACATTTCAAGTCGCGGACAATTAAGGTAATATTGTTTGGTAACGTCAGTTATGTAGGCGCCTCTTTATTAAAGGCGGCGTTTAATCAACTGTATCGACAACCGTCGTTGCCGAGGTTAATTAACTTCATCCGTGCCTACATATGCGTACGGCAATAATTAATTTTCTTAACGCGCGACACACGCGCGTTACGTGCGTATGACGTCTGCTTTGTGACGAATAGCTTTTTTTTTGTGGCTTCATTTAGTCGTTATTCTCATCTCGTCGCTCGCCCCTTCAAGTTTTCGCAAGCTATTTGTGGGACAAACAGAGATATAAACGCGGCAATAAAACCTAAAAATGTAACGGTAATTAATATTTGAAAAAAAAAAAAAAAATTTTTCTATCGCATGCATGATTTTTAGCAGGTGAAAAATAGTACAACATTAATTTTTTGCCAATAAATTTATATATAAATTAATAGAGCAAGAACATGGATCATCGAACTTTTGGTTTTTAATGTAAATACGGCGTGATTTTTTCTTCCAACTAATATTATGCCTTTTTAAATAAAAAATCCAGCATATCTTTTCGACGATTTAATAATAAAATGTTAAACATAATGATATGAAATAAAATATTATATTGAACGTAATAATTTATACTTTTGCGCGAAACTTTAATATATCAAATTTTGACATACTAAATAATTACAATACAAATACAATTAAACAGTCCGGTATTTATGTTCTTTACGGCACTGATGAAATTACGACAACCTTATCATTTGTTCGATTACCTTCTTCGGTTTATCGGACGTCGGAATGCAAGCCGATCTTGAAATTTATCAGTCTAGAACGGTATCAGGAACACGAATCAACGTTTCCGTGGTTTGATTAGATAATCGATCGCGCGAATAAAAATGTGCGGGGACTCAAAATGATGTCTCTATCATTGACTTTGTCATCTCGGCGGAGAGCGATTTCGACGCGTGCACGGTACAATTGGTGACGTTAACACCGCGCCTTTCGAAACTCACCCTTCAGGTTGACGTGGGAAATTTTCCGAAACGAGCCGAGAATCCTGCGCCTGAGAAGGCCCGCTGAAGGACGTAGGAGGAAAACGTGGTGTTCAAGGAAGATTTATGCGCTCTCCGCTCGCGCGATCTCGAAGCGACGAGACATAGGTCTTTCTCCTTTTTTTTCAAGTACGACCGCACGGAGGTGTACCGCACGAATTCGCGCGTTCGACTGATGCCTCAAGTACGACAAAGACGCAGAAATCTTATCTAGCCGATAACAGAGCGGCGACGAGCAGTGTCAACAGGCAGGTATATGTGGCGCGCGAGCATCTTATCTAATGAGTCTATTCTCTTTCCATTAATAAGGCCGCCGTCGTGTTCTTTGTCGAACGCTCGCACAAGCAATTGTAACTATCAGGAAAAATGTGTTTTTCCTGCTGGGCGACGGTATTAATTTAATTTCTCCTCTATTGCGTGTATCAATACGAGCCAACAGTGACGGCTAAATATTTTGCTCGTAACTTTTCCATTTTTTTCTCTATACTGTTTGTTCTCTATATCTGTTTTCCGAAAATAAGCAAGCTTGTGATTTATTAAAAATAAATTTTCCAGAGATCAGCGCATGATATTAGGTCTCATTACACGAGATTTTGCTGTCCAAAACACTGATAATTCAAACTAAAAATATATTTATCATAATTAAATATTAGGAAAGATCGATATTTATCATATATTTTTCTCGTTTTTATATTATTTATTAGATGGAATAATATCATGCAAATTGTAAATAATATTTACTTATTCTATTATTCTGGATATTATTAGTCTGGGTTAGTCTGAATATTATTAGTCTGGATTAGACTGGATATTATTGTGATTTGAAAATTAAAATGCAAATTTGATTGACTAATTATACATATTTTGTATATAAAAATGAATATTAGGCGTATTGATTTACAATTTGTACCGCCGCACATGCAAAAGTTCACATTTCCAAGGTTAAAGTAAAATGCTCGAATGTGAGACAATAAATGTTCTTCGAGTAGTAATATCTGTCCGCATCTGTGTCATCATGCTGATTCAGCAGTCTTGAGCTTCCACTCTCACATTACGTGAACGAAAATTGTACGCGTGTGTCTAAAATTGTATAATGTGCAATATGTGAAGGAGTTATTGAACACCAGGTTCGATATCCGAGAGCCAGCGACGCTTCACCGCGAAATTTTAGCATGCGTCAGCGACTAATTAAACGACATTGGCGAAGCAATTAAATAAATGTTCGAAGTAATGTTTATTAAGTATTGCAACACACACGTTATATATACGCGTAGAAGATATTGTCAAATGCGCTGTCATTAACGTTATCGTTTCCAAGAACAATTAAGAGACCTTCGAGAAACACTCGAGAAACAATGTTTCCTAGAACATTTTAAGCAATTAGATCTAAGTACTTCCAAGTCTTCCAACTACTTAGCAATCTCAAAAGAAGACCGTCTTAAATAGTTTCTCGATGATTATCCGCACGATCTAATAAATTAAAAGAATCTCGTTTTGATCTCTCATTTGCCTTTATTTCATTCTTATCTGCGTAATGATGGTCTCTTATCACGGGCTTTTATCGTGTTCACTTGTGTACCGTGCTTTTTTTAACACCGCCGACGAACGGCGTGATTTTATTTATTTCAGCGCTTTAATGTGTTTTTTTTTCTTGCAGCAACTAAACTACTCTATTTTTCAGTTGTAATCTAGTTATTTATTTTAATGGTTACTGTACGTTCTTGCTCTGACGTTATCTATCCGCTTTGATTTAACGAGATGAGCAATCACCTTCTCTTCTTATCGTTCGCCTTTTTTTTCAACTAACAATTAGATAGCAACATTAAACAAACAAAGGGGACCGCTCTATTTCCTAGAACTTAAATATCCGCTGTTTGAAGAAGATTCACAATTTAGCTCTTTTATATCTATAAAGTTTCCTACAATAGCTAATCAGTTAAAAAATAAATTTATAGTTATGTTATATTATTTCTTTGATAATTTTATTTTAGAAATCCTGATATAAACCTACACGTTAAGATGCAAAATCTGTTAATATTCTCATAGCAGAAAAATCTATTAACGTGTCAATTCGTGAAATACTCGCCTCTCGGACTTTACGATTCCGTTCCTGGACCCCGCCAATTATCTCAGTGATCTTGCGTCGATGCAGGATAGAGTGTAAAAATGTTTCACTCTAGAAAAATGGCATTATCCTTGAGACACATTCACGGCTACATTCTTGCTACTTCTTTTCGCCGAATGTGTTTGCGATCACACGGCGATCGTTTTGTCACCGATTTATCAAATTTCAACTGTCACTTAAATACTCTACTATTTAATCACGTCACATGGCTTGATCATTGAAAGTCCAGATTTATTATCAGACTGAAGTTTCACCAATAACTATGGTTGTGTCGGCGTTGCAAATTATATATATAACGCGGTTAAATAATTCTTTTCTTTTAACTGAAAGTTAAAAGGGTTGAAAATTCATTACTGTCTTAATTAATTTATTAGTCACGTCCGCCGGTGAGAGTGACTCTCTCTCACGCGACGATCCACAATTGCGGCCAGTGAAGCGTCCACTTAGTTTTTTCCTTTATATAAAATTCCACGCGTGTCGCGCGGGCTTATCGGCATCGGCTCCGTCGATCGGAGTCGAAAAGTGCTGATAAGCGAAACAACGCCGGTGCTATCGACAGGCCGGCCTCGGTGCCACTAACAGAAAAACACGTTCACCTTTCCTGCGGTGGTAGATACAGTCGACGACGTGGGGATATTGGTAATTATTATCGTTTGGCACTCTTATCCTTGCGATATACCGGGCGTCGCGTTCAGTATCTTCAGGTACAATTGGACTTGCTTTTATATATATTTACAAATTACAATTTTCAGTTACATCCACGATACAAAATTAAGACATTGTATAAAAATAGCAAATTAGTCACACGCATAAGATTAATATAAAAAAATAAAGCTCCGTCCTGTACATATTATTGTATATTCCTACAACGTATATATAAACTTTGTAACCCTACCCTAAAGCAGTCTTCGAATTTTTATTTTAAATCGATACTGTGTATTAGTGAAGGTAATTGACATCTTTTCGCGGTTTTTCTCATCGTTGTCCGCCGCCTTGCTCAACTACTCTGATCATCGCGGAAAAGACTCCGTTCTGTCTTTGCATCAAATCTGCCGGTGAGCCCTCCTCGATGATCTTGCCCTCGTCGAAAACAACGATACGATCGCAATTTAACAAAGCTGCCGCTCGATGCTGCACAAAAAAATTAGTATTATCAAAATATCCAATTCTTATCCAACGAATGATTCAATTTTCTAGCGTAACAATTTTTAAAAAATTATTGGAAAGCGCTTCTCACTTCTTTAGTTTATCTTTTGCTAATTTATCGAGCGCTTACTAACCGCGATGGTGATCACAGTTCTGTCCTCGAAAGCGACAGCAGCCGCTTTTAGGAGTGATTTCTCGGTGGTAATATCAAGCGCGCCAGTCGCCTCGTCGAGGACGACGATACGCGATCGCTGCAGGATCGCACGTGCCATGCAGAGCAGTTGCAGCTGACCGGCTGAGAAGTTCTCGCCGCCTTCTCGCACTTCGAGACCTACAAAATTAATTTCAATTACATTAGTTATTTTAAACTTTAATTTATGTATGTCATATTATCGTTACATTTATTGTATTAATATTACATATACTATATATAAGTATTATATTGCATACTCAATCCTTCGTGATGCGAAGCTATGACATCCTTGATTTGTGAAAGCTCCAATGCTCGCCAGATTTCTTGGTCCTGGTATTCCGAAAACGGATCTAGATTCTCTCTACGGGGTAGTTAATCGATTTTAGGCTCGAATATTTAATTCTTAGATGAACACCGCGTACATGTAGATAATTTTTTTTCTAATTTATCCTGAAAATCATGTTAATTATATGGGACAATATAGTATTTAGGCAAATTTTACTGTAGTAAAATACTTATTGTAGTGCACAGTAAAATTTGCCTAAATACTATATTGTCCCACAATTAACATGATTTTCAGGGTAAATTAAAAAAAAATTCTCTCCGCGTACGTACTGCAGCGCGACGCGAATAAAATTGTGAATTGCGAGCCGCGTCAGAAACTATACAGACGACGTCTCGTAGTAAAGATTTACGAGTGTATTATTTGCGTACCTGATCGTGCCGCTAAACATTATTGCATCCTGCGGTATGGCCGATAACCGCGATCGCAATACTCCAAGCGGCACTTGCCGGATGTCAATTCCATCCAACAAGATGCGTCCTTGACTGATCTGGATCAGTTGGAAGAGGGCCATTACAGTCGATGATTTTCCGCTACCGGTTCTCCCACAAATGCCCAACTGTGAATATTAATTGTACAATGAAATCTACATAATGCATAGTATTGTATAAATGTATGTTACATAAAGTATAAAAAAATATACATAATATATTTTCATTTTATTATGCGTTAAAATAAAAGGAACTTGGAGATTATTGATAATACACACGTATTATTTCATTTATATTATCATATTATAAATCGTCTGTTGGTTTATCTACGGATTACTGATTACCTTTTGCCCAGCCGGTATTCTCAAAGATAAATCTATCACCACCGGATTTCTGTCCGCATCGTAGCGCAGAGAGACATTCTCAAAAATGATCTCGCCCCTGTTAGGCCAATCATTGGCCACCCGTAAACCTAAAATCCGGCAGCTAAAATTAGTGAGGGAGCGAGAAACAAAATAGCGGTAAATAACCGAATATTACTTGCGAAAGATACTTTTATATTGTTTGATAAGTACATTGTGTTTTTGATAGCACTGTACGAATAGAACGTCGAGCGGTTTCCGGAAGTTGATTAATCTGCCAACTGGCAAGATTCTCTGATCGATATTTAAATATTGTTGAAGTACTGCATATTGTTTTGATAGACAATGATAACGAAAGATTACCGCGAAACAGCAAGTCAGTCGATATTTAGTAATACGATTTCCCAAAACGAAAATTATCACTTGTTTACGCGGGATTCAGTTTGCGCCCGTCACGATTTAAAAATTATGTAACGTCATCACAGATTAATAATAAATTTCGCTTATTGATGTTCATTGATATCGCGAGCTCAAAATGGTGTGTCAAACAGCCAGACTTTATCCGCGATGTTTGCTTTGATACGAAGTACCAAACACAGAAATTTAATGACGATAACGATTTTAGCATGACTTTACAAATTAAGAGATTTGCCCAGAGATTTCAGGCTGAAAACAATTTAATTACCGCTTTCGTGAAGCTTCTCCGGTTGCGCGTTCCTGTACGCGCAAATTCGGGCCACGCTTCCCATGTACAACTCGATTTCCGCGCTGAACTTGATCATCCAGTTCAATACCGGTACCAAGAGAGTATAATTGATTGCCAGGCCTACTAATCTGGGTGTTACGCGGCTTGGATATAGCTCCGCAGAAAGTAATGCCGTAGAGATGGCTACTACCACGATAACCGCGCCCAGATAGTCCTGAAATTATTATTTGCAAAACAATGAAAATCATCGAAGATTCTACCAGATGTTCCCTCGATATATAGAGAGGAGGTTTATAATAAGTAAATTATTTATCAATTATTTATAATAAACCTGGAAAATATAAATTTAATAAAATTAATTTTCCAACGTTGATTGCAATTACCGAGTTTTAGAATCTCAGCTTTTAAAACTGATAAAAAATTTTTTTTACATTTATTATATTAAATTTATTACCAATGCGGTGCCAAACCATCTGCTACTGGTGTTCAAAATAAGAAATGCGTTGGTGTTTATATCGAGGCGTTTCATCATTTCCTCCATGAAGCGATCCTCTTGCTTGAATGCCCGCAGTGTTGAAAGGCCGGACAAGGTTTCTGAGAAATGCGCTACTACCGGTCCTCTCGTACTTGAAACGTGAAAGTTCACATAATTATTAATGCATTCTAACAAAAAAAGTAAAAGAAAGATTAATAAAAATTTTTTGGTTTGAGGATGAAAACAATTAGACTATTAATTACTTGCAAAATGCGCTATCTCGTATATATATTATTCTTTATTTGGATAATTACCGTTGATCGTTATTATTAAGTAATTGATTATTTCTTTGTAAACGTCAGATTTGTTATAGAATACTCGAATAAGAATTTTTAGTCTTTCCTTTTACTTTTTCCAAAAAAATCTTAAATCTTTTATAAAAAGATTTAAAAAATTGGTTTGTCTTCTATACGAAATCATAATGATTATTAATACCTGCCATCTAAACACTGCAATTGCCTGGCGCCTCGCCTGTAGAATTTTTGCAATGCGTAGTGTGCGCAGCTAATTGGTACAACAGTGATTAAGAACCACGGCGAGATAATAATATTGATGATCATCACCGAGCCGCAGAGTAAAACAAAAGACGTTAATCTCTTGATTGCCGTAGCCATTTTCTTGAAAGAAAAGAAATAGAGAAATTAATAGAGATTTTATTAAAATTAAAATGACTTTTTATACTTATAGCTATTTTTGACGATAATCTATGTAACATTAACATTTGTCTTGACGATTGTAAATTGTCAAAATACGAGAAGGGCTAATTAATGTACGCCCATTTACCTTGTCTATGACACTCATGTCTGCGCTGAACCTGCTCAGAATCTTTCCAATGAGATTGCATTCGAAGAACGAGACGGGCGCGCCGAGAAGTCCGGCGATAGCTTCTTGATGCAACTTCCGTCTCGCTCTAACACCTACCCACTGACCCGACACATTGTAGAGTATTGATAAAAAAATAGAGCCCACGGATATGATGATGTACACCGTGAAGTAGGACACCGTCTGAAAAAAGGATCGACGTTTAAAATTATTTTAAAGAACACGTCATCCGCGCGTATCGCGCGTCTTTTTTGACTGCAAAAATAGTTTCCAATTTTTAAGCAATGACGTACCAATCTCGTGATATTAGTAATCATTCTTGGTTCGGCAAATGTGATATTTTAGTGTAACATGATAGCCATTAATTAATTATCGACATTAATTGGGATGTACATCTGATTTTTTAAATGGCTTTTTGAGCGAATGCGATGCTCTCATCGCAAAATCAATCACGACGATCTCGCATGTATGTATATTAATATATCAAATATCTATATTTACATTCGCCGGCGTATGAACACTTTCCTCCATCCATTCGCACAGCCAGAAGTCAGTGTACACGCGAAGGATTTGGAAGGCCAGCGCTGCTATCGCATAAACGAGTCCCGGTATCCATCCAGCGGCCTTCGGATACTCCATCCAAATCATTCTATTGACCATTCCACTTTTATCATCGACCTCGAGTTCGCCCTGTTCGTCCACGTCCTCGTCGTTCAAAGCTAAAAGAAAGATTAAGATGAATACTTTTTAAATTTTAAGACTTATTTATACTAACTTTTAAGAGAAGAAGAAATAAGAAGAGAGTATAAATTAAAAAATTGAACAAACATTTAAAAAAATATATATATACAATTAATTTTGACAACTAACTTTCTTTCGCGTCATCCATCTGATTGCTAGTCCGCGATTCCACCGATAACAATCGTTTCGCCGGGAGATGATGGTGCTGATCTCGCTGCTGAGTAATCCTAAAAAGGAGCAAATATAAAATATTTATTTGGCTTACAATTTCCTTCTCGCATTATTCACATTCACTATTATAATTACTTGTTAGAACCTGGCATCAGTCGAGACAGAACATTTTTGTCTTTGCCCACTGCCATTTCATCCGGGTACCTAAAGTTTCCGTTATTATTTTCTCTTTCACTTTTTCAATTGTATTTAGTGGAAAATCACATTATTATCCGTACATATATATACAATAAAGAAACAAAGTTTAAAACCTTGCAGAAAAGAATTGCCTTAGCATGCCGCTGGATTGTCCGTTGTCACAAGTGCTGTAAGTGTTAGTCCTTTTCCTGTGCAAAAATAAAAGTATTCTGTGTTAAAAAATATAACTATTTATTATTTCACATAAATTATTTTGTAGTCGCAAGGAGACATTTAAGCGGTAAATTAAAAACTTGCGACAAATAACGACAGTCTTGCTAAAAAAACATTAATTTGGCGAAATAATCTATGAGCGAAAATTGACTCGTCGGATTTCTTTTATTTCTTATCTGATCGCATTTTATGTACATGCCTGAAAAGGAGAAATAATTTTTCAAAATTCATACCTCGGTGGCACGGGTCGATTCTCGAGAATGAGCGGCGTGCTGCTCTGTCGGAAGATCGGCGGCGGCCGTTTTGCCGCTTGAAGGCTCGTCAATCTGAGGATGCCGCAATGCCTCCTCGATCGTTTCCTGTCGGTGTCCCATTCTTCCGCCGATACCAGAAGATCCGTGAGAACGTGACTCCAGTACCTCGAGCCGGATAAAGTTGTGCGGCGCAGCCTTAAAGGCACGAACGCTGGCGGATTCTGCAAGATTCGCAATCCAGATTAACGGTAAAGTTATTTCCATGTGTAAATCTCATCAAAGATATCGTTAATGCATAAACCTCATCAAAGATTAATATATTCCTGCTCTTTCTGTTATTTCTGTTATTTACCACGTAGGCATCGCGATCGGTGATCCATGATCCGTCGCTAACGTGTCCTCTCGCTTTGCTCATTCCGATTCTGTAGACTAATTTGATTAGGGACCATCTATCCTTGGCAGTCTTTTGAAATTGATTGTCGTCCTGGCGTCTTGAATCCACGATTCGCCACTCCGCCGCCAATTCAGAATCCATATTCTCGATGCTGGATTTCGTTCCAACCGCGCGAACTCGACAGCCGTCCATGACAATTATCTTAAAATATATATACGCGACTTTATGCGACTTCTCTGCATTTCATTTTTTTTCTGATATTATTTAACTAATATTATTTTTTTAACATAAAGAATTATTTAGAAGATATTATTTCTTAAACATATGGACATATCTGTGTAGAAATATATAAGATGATAAGTTATTTTTTAAAGTACTTAATAATATATGCGTATAAATACAGAGAATAACGAATATTAATAAAAAGAATTATAAATTAGCTTTTTATCTCAATCTAACAGCGTGTATAGAGAATAGCACATATTTTCATTTGTACATGATACAATATGATACGATGTAATATACATTAAAAAAATTAGAGTAAAGTATTAGAAGTATAAAAAAAAAAACCTGATGAGCAGCCGATAACAGCTCCAATTTGTGAGTGACCATAATCACCGTTCGACCGTTTCTCAGCAGGAACTCCCTCACGCCGTGATCGAAAATCTGCTGACCGACGTGCTGATCTAACGCCGACAATGGATTGTCCTGCAAACAATTAAAATTTTTAATTATACTTACACGTACATCTGTTTTCTATTTAAACTGACGTTTATAATTCATATAATATACAAAGCGAACGGACCAGGAGGACGACATCGGCGTCACTGTACAGAGCTCGGGCTATGGTAACCCTTTGCTTCTGGCCGCCGCTCAGATTGATACCCCGCTCGCCGATCCTGGTCAGATCTCGACCGGGAAGTATGTCCACGTCCGGTTGAAGAGCGCACGCCTGTAAGACGTTGCGATATCTTCGCGATCGATACGCAGACCCGAAGAGAATATTGTCCTTCAAGGTCGCGTTCTGGAGCCACGGCTGTCGCGCCACGTAGGCGATCTTCAGACCCCTGAAAAGCAATGCGCAACATTTTTTCGTCAATAATGAAATATATTATCATTTTAATTAAAATACATCCTTATTTTTCCTTCTCTTTTTTTTCAATTATAATTACTTTAGCCATTCGACGCTTCCGCTTGTTTTCTGAATCTCTCCTAGAAGCGCCAACAATAAAGAGGTCTTTCCACTTCCGGTTTTTCCCACAATTATCGTCAGTTGTCCTAAAAATATTAGGTCCTCAATTTATTATACTTAATTAAATAATTTTTAGATTAATTTTTAAATTTCTATATCTAAACATATCTTGTTTTATAATCAATCTAATATCCTCTCGCGCTTTGCTTCTATAGCGTTATTCACCTCGCGGGAAATTAAGAGCGTCAACCGTCAACGTGTTTTCGTCAGAGCCCCAGGCGAAGGTACTCGGTGTGACTTTAAGAACAGACTCCGGCACTTCCGGATCTTTCTCGAATACCGTATCGATTGATGAGTCAATTGGCAGACCGAATTCACGCAAGATACTCGACCGTGGATCTTCCTCGTCCTCTACAATATTGTCCAGCGATCCGAAAGTTGCAACGCTGTTAATCGCTTCTACTTTCTGAAGAATATAACACAATTGCCAATCTGAATTATTAAAATAAATATACCATATTCAATAATATTATAACTTGTAAAATTTATAAAACAAAATTACAAAGTAAATTATTTTAATTTATATAAACGTGTCTGAAGTATATTTTAAGATTTTCTAATCAAAAAGTACTCACGTCATTATCGGTGTATGAATTTGCCTTTGGCAACACATCTACCGTCGCTCTTTGATCGTCTGGTTCGGGGAGAATATTCACGATCTCTGGAAGCTGGAGAAACTCCTCTAATCTCGTTGTAGAAATCTGCAAATCCGGAATAAGAAGGAATGTCTCGAATTTATAACGAGTAGTTTAACTCGAGACCGTTATTCCCCTCACCATGGCATTGATGATAATCGGCACTATCACCGGAAAGATGAAGAGCGGCACGGTCAGTTGCGAAAAGAGCGCGAGACTGGCAAAAACGTTCCCCGCATCAAGATTTCGTTCCTCCAACCAGAAATAAATTCCGAATGTGAAGAGAGTTACCAGAACGGAGAAGGCGTGTGTCAGAAAGTCTGCGATATTAATGCGTAAATTTACCTAGGTCTCTTTTTCAATTAAATTATTAGACCAATTACTAAATTATCGTAAGAATTATAAAACTCATATTATAGAAAGTATTATTAGTAATTGATGATCATCTCTCTTGTTTCTCGTTTATGTTTTGGTGCAAAATCGAAACGAGATAAAATAAGATAAAAAAATGTCTATTATAATTAATAAACGTTTTTAATTAAGAGAAAAAAGAAATTATTTACTGATAAGCGCCCAATAGACAGAGTCCTTTTTTAGCAGCTTTAATTCCTGATCCCTGGTCTTCCATATGCGATCTTTGAAGAGATTCTCCCAGGCGCGTAGCTTAATGAGCCGTATCCCTTGAAAAATTTCATTAAGTAGACGAAGGCGCGCGTCGCTCTTCTCCTGAAAGATCGGAGAATTGAAGATCCAAGACGAACAAAGATAATGCATCACTTCCTTACCGCTATGGACTTGGAATTTTCGGACATTCGTTTCCCGAGGAGCAGCTGCATCGGCGTGACGATCAGTATGCAGCAAGTTACCGCGATAATCGCGCTGATGCCCAGTTTCAAGTACAGAAGGAAAATGATGGCGGTAATCTGTGTACAAATTAAACGGAAGTACCGAAAATTATAAAATTATTTTACTGATAATGTTTCTGAGTGATTTGACAAACGTTTTCTCTATAAAATATTAAGTGATAAAATACACGTAAATGTTTATTTAAATGTCTTTACTTTCAATGGGACAGCCCAGATGTAATGAACGATCCAGAAGAAACTCATTACGTTGTACACATCTTCGGCCATGAGATTCGTCAAAGTTCCAACGTCAGCTACTTGCTGATGGCAGTGCTGCTCTTTATCTTTTTCAGATGGCTTTTCTTCCTCGGAGATACTCCAAGAAGACAGTCGAAGAGCCTTATCGTAAATTAATGCCTAAGCGATGAATTGAATAAAATATTTATTAACGCGTCTTTTGTTTGGTATCTCAAAGTTTAAGCGTATCTCAAAAACGGCGAAAGAGAAATCATTTCTAAATTAGCACACCTTGCAAAATAAAATCTTGAAGCGTGTATAAGCGCAAGTAAAATACCTGGAGAGCCGTTCGCAAACGTATTCCTCCGACGCAGAGCACGTGGGTGGAGGCTTGCTTCAACGTACTTTGCAAAATGGTAGCAAGAAAAACTAAGATCCCCAAGAAATATCCATTCTTCAGAATTTGGGAAAATGTCAGGACTCCCTGAAGAATTAATCTCTTTAGACGGTTAAACATATCAAGTTGAAGAATAAAAGTGAATTTAACAGACAACGGAGAGGCGCGACGATACCTTCGAGGAAAAGCTTTCGTTCGTCGCGGTGCTGTTTTGCAAATTTGACGCATAATTAATGATCTTCGGAATCGTCATGGGACCCACCAAAGTCATAGCGTCGCCGAACAGCTTCAAGACGCTACCCGCCGCGAAAGTCAACCATATCCGCTTCCAAAAACATTTCCACAGGGACAATTTCCGTCCGCGGCATCGCAGCTAGGAATTAAAGGAATTTAATTGAACTCGATTTGCGCGCGAAAAAAATAAGCGTGACGACAGGGTTTTAATTTCAGTTATTAAAATTACTTTTAACAAACGTTAATAATTACTTGTGATAATAAGTTATAATACATAATAATCTTGTGACATATATTAGTGTAACGTTAATAATTACTTGCGATAACAAGTTATAATATATATAATAATCTTGAGATATATTAGTGTAATACATAATAATTATATATCTTATAAGTTATCCTCAGATTGCTCAGTTGTTACGAAAACAGATTGATTATTTTTCTCAAGAGAAGGAAGCGTAAAATTGCTACCCTTTCGGCCTCGTAAACGACGCGAAAACGTTCGAACTGGTTCCTCGTGGTCTCCTCGTCAGGAAGTTGCGCCAGATCGAGGAGTTCGAGCGGCGTGTGATAGCCGCGCAGCAGCAGGTCAGTCACCCAGTGGAAGGTGATCCTGCTGACGAACGGCGAGGTGGAGTGCACGTAGGAGTTCCGCGCGTTATCGGGCCTTTTAACGGTGTACCGCCGGCTCTTCTGCATCTACGAACGACGAAAACATCATCGTCGCGCGATTATATATTTGCAGCGAGAGAATCGGCCGAAGTGCCGTGGCGACGCGCGCGATGTTTATACACTCGATATTTCCACGCTGGAAAAAGAGACGAGAGTAATAAAACGCCGCTAATGCCGTTCTCATCTTTATCGAGTCGAGGAAGTCGTAAACGCAAAACGGGGTGGACAAGCTTTTAGCGCGAGACTCTAGCGAGACGGCGGGCAAGTGCGTCGCGGCGAGTTCCGATAAAACGTTTATTTAAAAAGGTTTTTCTCACGTCTGAAGAAAAGTATATAAGAGAAAATCTCTAAGAAAATAATTAAAAGGTCGCACAGTGTTTTCACTAAAACTCTAAAACGTAATATTCTTTTATGCATTTCATCTCTGCTTCTTGAAGATTCATTAAATAATTGAATTCATTAAATAATTGAATTTACCATACGATAAAGGGTGTAAGAATCGATAATAGCTAGCAATCCGCAACAAGCGGCGGTGGCCCCCGTCGTGGCAACGCGAACGTATCGAATGGACAAGCCGAATCTAAAAGAAGAAATCGTATTTTGACAAACATAAAACTTGGGATAAGTTAATTATTACTAATAATAATTAGTTAGGCGTTAATGAATATTATAAATAATATAAGTATAAAATAACAGTGATATTTTACGAATATAAGAAAGCTGAGAATGATGATGAGATTAATCTAGAGGAAGATGTCAAGGTATAATTTATCTTTTATATTAATAATTATCAATAAAATACCTGGATAAGTACAAAAACTTCCATGCCCGCGTGAGACCGATTATCGTAAATCCACCTCCCGACACGGCGGTGCCGAAACCATCTCTGATCTCGGTTTCGCGATGTAATATCCAACAAAATAATACAGCAGTTATCGTTACGATCGACGACAGTGAAATCGACGTCAGTACGGACTCGCACAGTTCCAATAAGAGAATTAACAGTAACAGTATACAAAGTAAAGTCCTGCCTACATGAAGTGGCAACAGCGACTTAGAAAGCCTAAAAAAAAAGAAGATATTATATTCTCATCACTTGTTTGCTGAAAATATTTATGTTTTTAATTTGACAAAGAAATTACGATTTTTAAAAGAATTTACGACTATTATTTAAATAAATAAATTCTTTCTTTCAAAGAAACGAACATTTCTTGATATCAAAAATTTTAATTAAATAAAAAATTACAAATTATAAGTTAGCGATAATTCAAAAGGATATATCCATTATAATATTCGAAAAATTTCACGTATAAATTATTTACGAGTTAATGTAGAATTAATTCAGTATAAATCGACAGCAGAGTTGAATTTCTGCGGAATAATCAAGGTAAAGAAACGTCGGCGGGAAATCTCGTTATACGAGTACATTCTGTAATCACATCAGGTATGCAGGCGTATTACGTATTCGACGGGTAAACCGTATATGATGAGTATAGAGGGTTGGGTTTGTACGCGCGCCTTAACGAACCTGAATGGCCTCTGAGTCATTTCACCTGCAATTTCCCGAGTCTATCGTTATGTCGTGCCAGTGACGTCACTGCAGACATCAACTTATCCCGTATATACTCGCAGGTGCTCGACATTGTTAAATGTCAGTCGAAGATAAAACTGAAGAGAATACGAGGGGATATTGTAATGAACGTGTAACTTATGTATCTACTTCGTGGCTTATTAAGATAAAAAGTTACACAGCGTTTATCTCATATTCTTTACCACTTCCTTCGTTATAAAAGAAAAATATATTTAGGGAAGATTCATTAAGGATTTTATTGATACTGCACACTGAGGGGATTCTATTTACGCAGCCTGTTACTAATTCTATGATAATGACGAGCGGTGTACACACTGAGTTAGTTAATTTGTACACGACTGGACGCACACAAGCTCGAAACAAGTTTGCTTCTGATGAGTTCGATAGCGAGGCGGAAGGAAGCAATAAATCGAATAATTACTGAATTACTCCATTCGCGATCTGAGCTGTGTCTGCGCTGTATTATTGCAAAAGCTTTACAAGTACCTAATACAAAGTGAACGGTGATAGCCGCGTATGTTGTGTCTACGATGTACTCAACATATTCTCGTTTACGTTTTTTTTTTTTTAAAACTGTGGCTTATTTAAGATGTAAATGCGTGAACGGTCCATAAAACAACGGCGGGCAACGAAATGTAGATGTTAAAAATACTTGTTAATGCGAGTTTCTAAATTTAAGGAAATTCTTCTTAAATTCTCTTAGACTAAAAATTCTTTTTATAAAGATTGAAATAACAATTCAAGACCTTTCAGAAATCATATACAAATATAATCAATAAATAGTTAAAAAAATAAGATAAAAAACGCAATAAAAATTTAACGTATAAGAAATTTAATTGTAAATTTCAGATTATAAATCAATTTATGTAAAAGAGCGAGAGAGAGAAAGAGAGAGAAATTAATTTATCCTCCAGTCAACGTTATAATAATCCTTGAACAGCGATCAATGATGCGAATCGGCGACCATATAAGTGTATAAGTGCCAGTAAAGTAAATGTGCGTTTATTCTGGATAAAACAGAGAAAGAGAAAGAGAGAGAAAGAGAGAGAGAGAGAAAGAGAAAGAGAGAGAAAGAGAGAGAGAGAGAAATCCGAGTTACAGCCTGCTATAAATTATTCCGGTAATTAATACGAAACGTTTTTCTTCACGCACGAGTGCATTCCGGCATTCCGTTTCATTAATTGCCCGTACGTAATGAAAACGCTTGCGGTGTCGATGAGGTTCGTTCGCGATTAACGGGATTGCTTCATTTCCATGCGACAAAAATTTTACACGCCCTAAGAACACGCGCGCGTGTGTTATCATTATACAATACAGGGAGTACACGTATATAGAGTAATTACTGGGTAAGAATCTCGCGACGAGACTTAATAACTGCTTCGCGCGTGTGCACTAAATATTGTAAGTGCATTATTGGCACTATAATATTTCATAGTAAGAATAATAAATATTGTGGCACACAAAAATATCCCGGTGGTTAACAGTAAAAGGATATTTATTAATTATATAAACCGGCATATTTTCAATTATCAAATTTAGAAACAACTAAATCTTTTTATTAAAATACAAAAAAAGCTTCTTTACAGTCAAAATATTTTAAAAAGAGCAAAATCTAATTTTTCTTTAATTACCGCCTTAAACGTTGAATTTATTAAAACTTTTATGAAAGGAGAAAGTATCGATATGTGATACATAAATTCAAAATTTTGCAATGAATATTGCGTTAGTCAAACGTAGTTCATGTTACATTCCGAGCAAATAAAGTATTGAGTCACACTGCGAGAATACCCGAGAATCGATCGATTTGTGGTCCGCTGCTTCTGCGAAGCGTGAAACTGCGTTTACTATGCGCCGTGAGAGCTTCAGCATAGGAAAATAATCAATATGCTTTTTTAAGAAGCGCTCTGTTAATTATCAACATAACCCGTAGGAGAGCAACTGAAAAACTATTCTTCAAAGAAAGAAAAGAGATGTGAGCTTATAATATTAATATTATGTTAACAATGCAAAAAAGTCCAATTAATTTAACTGCCTTATATATATCTGTATAACAATAAAAGTTAAGAAATTAAAATAAAATCAAATTTTTAAAAATTATATATATTTTATATAAATACATTAAAATTATATATATTCAATATATTTTAACGTTTGTTATAATGGTGCATAATGCAATTATGGTTTACACTATGGTGAATAATACTAATGTCTTGGAAATTGTAAAATATAATTATCGCGGAATTAACTCGGAAAGATGATGAGCGCCTTGTGCTTTGAATATTGAATCAAGGATGACGCATAATTACTAGCGGCTTATACATATATCTTATGGCATCAAATGGAGCAAATTCCTTGACAGAAACGTCTCTCGCTTGAATCATGGGGCACCCCCGAACGAATAAAGCATTTTATCATCTAATTTGAAATTTACTTCAATTAAGCCTGAGCAATCTCGAAGGATCGTTCGCGTTTCATTTAACATTCGTGTCAGATCGGTTTACATACGGATGACAGTAAAAAAACTTTACATTTCTGGTCAGTTAATCAGTAATAGCTCGCGTCTCTCGTAATTATGTCGACATTTAAGCGACATTTCTATTCGCTTAATTAACCGCGTGGAATAATTGCCCCATAAATGATAAACATAATTATAAAACGTAGCTATTCGTGAGTGTGAATATAATTAAACTTGTTACAATCATTATTAATTCAAATGTGATTTCTTTCCTTTTTGTCAACTTACTTGCCAGCCGTGCTGCATTTATATTTAAAAATTAAAATTGCGGCAACAAGCGCGGTGAAAATAGCGACGGAGAGGTTTATCAATTCGATGAGACATCCGGTCGGTGAATGCAGATCATTCTCCGGCACCTGGAATACCGTTCCATTTCCGGCTTGCCAGGACCAAACAATTCGTTTAGTAAGCCTCGGTAGTATATGTAGAAACTTGTACTGTTTGCAGAGATCCATCTTGATCGTCCAGTGTCTTCGATATTTCTCATCAGTATCATTCGTGATTTATTAATTGCTTTGCGTATCTGGAGAAACTATGTGTTATTTGAAGAACATATAGCTATTCACAATTATAAAATTACAGCGTGTTGATAATTAATTATCTGTAACAAAATAAATGTTCCCGAGATGTATTTCTATAATAGAAAAAAATAGTACATCTCAAGTATTTATATATATATGTTTATAGACTTAAATAAATTATTACGGAATATTTATATGTAGATTTTTTGAATAAACGATATTGGACTTTGAAAATTATTTTCTTTCATGTTATTTTTATATCAGTGTCACAACAGCACCTCCAAAAGAATTATATCTGCCTTCCGTTCAGGAAATTCCGCGCACTACCAAGTGGCTTATTTTCGTCGTGCGCTTTGTGTCTTCTAAAAATATACCGAAGTGTTGAATAACTTTCAACATTCGATAACGAGAGCACGTGTGCTAATAATTACGCAAAACTTTATTATTCATGCGTAACAATTCAGGAAGGTCAAGGATGAAATCAAAATAATATGATTAAAGGAAATCTCTTAAACGGCATACGCGAAAGATCAGTTTGCGGGATACGCTTGAAGACTGAATTATATTCACTTCTCATGAAATCCATTAAAAAGAAATTACAAGACACAAATATATAGATTTACTCTACTACTAATAAAATGTTTTCTATTAAAGAAAATTAGGTTTTGATTACTTAAATTTTAACAAATCAAAGATGAAACGATTCAAAATTAATTAAAATGTATGTGGCATTTTATTTATACATTAAACAAATTTTTTTAATAACTATATATTGTACTGTATAATGTTAACGCATTCATAAATCAGTTTGCATTAAATTTGCATATTTAGCAACAATATTTTATTGCCACATAAAGCATAATGACGTAGATGTATTTTAAAAATTCTTCTCGCGATGAAAATATTGCATTAATAGTTTCACGATTCATTAAAAATTCATCATTTTGCAACATATTTCAATGAGTTAAGAACTTACTATTTATTCTTAATTAATACGTTGTAATTCTAAGATATAAACTACGCAAGTGTTTGTCACAAATCACGCAGAACAATAAATAAGAAATAATTGTATTAACTCTAAATTTAAAAAATTTAATCTTTCAGATTTTTCTCAATAGATTTATTTGATAACACTTTACCTGTTGACCAGATCGATATCATTCTCATTCATCTACCGTTTGATCAATGATGGTGACAAAATCGACAATTCGATAATTATTTCTGCAGTTAACATTAATACGCGCGATACATTGCAGTTAAAACGCTTGCATTTTTCCGAAAAAAACACAGGAAACTGAAACACTTGACTTCCGTTTGACACTTTCGGCTGTATATGCCGCACGTGGCACTGACGAGAGGACTGAGGAGCCACACGTTCTCCCTCCCCAATGGTTCGCGGTCTACTGAGATGAGATCCGAACAGAATACCAATGATAATTCCACGTGTACGATGAGTCACTGGTAAAAAAGAGGATCCCTCCTGTAGATGCGGGCAAAAACAAAACCGGTATAATTTCGAGCTAAAATTTTGATTAGACTTGCAAAATTAGCCCTGCAATCGCACTGAACGCGTTTTTCTCAGATAACACCTTAAGTTTTTTCGTACGCATTACACTGAATTCGAAAATACGTGATTCCATAAAAATAATACTCAAATATCTTAATTACTATGAGATACTGAAAAAAAACTTTTTTCTGGACAAAATTACAGCAGAGTTATTTTTCGATATAACAAGGTAGCGATTTTTAAAACATAATTTCACCAGATAAATAATTTAATAAAAATTATAATTTTATGTTAAAAAAAACTTATACAATACAGAAAATTTATAAGAATTTAAATTAAAAAAAAGTTATAAAAAAGTTGCTGCTTTCCAATTAAGACACTGGATTTTTTTATAAAACGATATATAATATTTCGAAATATTTGGAAATAATAAAATGAAAACTAAAATAAAGTTAAAAATATATGCATAATAAATAATTATTCTGTGTATATATATATGTATATATAAAATTTTGTTACCTAATGTAATAAAATCTACGAATAAAATTTAAATATGCATTTGTAGCGATGGATTCTTTCTCGTTTTGAGGGTCAGAAATGAAACTCACGAAAATATATCGATTCTCCCGTCCTTGATTTTCCGGGAGAAAGCAAACTAAGCAGACGCTCGTTGCCAAGCGTTTTACGTCTCAGGAAGCCACATGGCACCTGCAATTTTCGTGCAACGAGATCAACCACAGGAATTGCCTATCCTATTAATGGACACCAACAGCCTTCACAAATTTTGTTTCAGTCACAGTTTAATTTTACCATCAGTAAAGAGCTTCTGTTTATATATCTTTCAATAGTACTTCCATCGCATGTCGAACTTTTATCTCTGATCGTTTTAATGTCTTGTCATCGAAATATTATTTGCTTTATCAAATTAACAAAAAATTGAATTAATATTAATTAACAAATAACTGGACAATAAATGATTACATCGAAATAAATTTCATTCGACGAAATACATGTCGCAACGGCATTTCGCTGCGCGCTATTTCGAAACACCGTATGCTCTATTTGCTTATCTAGTGGATAATTAATTATTGACGGTAATTTTCTGTCTCGAAGATCGTAATATATTACATTTTGCACTAAGTGCTTCGGACGCGATAAGAATCATCAGCCGCGTCTACCACGTTTTCCAAAAAGTATATCACTCGCGAATAACCAGTTTGTTGCATGCATATGTATAATACACTATCGATAGTGTAAAGATATCTCTACAGCACAGATTTCGTCAGCACTTTCCGTAGGAGTTATAGGCGCGTGTATTACTCGCGTCAGTTGGTTTGTTATACATATATGATGTTCGTAAAAAGAAATGCATGTAAAGTTCATCATACAAAATTAACTATTCTTAAACGCGGCAATTACATTTGACGTAGGAATCGGGAAAAAGGTTAAAGTGTATAGTGTGCAAATGTATGTTTTCTTAAAAAAGATTCAACGCTAAAAAGTTACAAAATATTATTGCGTAATGATGAGCGACGTAAAAAGAGCGGAGTTTTATATGCCGACGCACGCTGGTTAATTTATAAGAAGTACTTCTATATTAACAATTTAATGATTCTGTATGTAATAATATGAAGTTTTGCGAGAAATTGAAAGGAAGAGAAAAACGGAGAAGAAATAGATATGCAGAGTGACAGACACGCAATATATGATAGAGACGGAAAGACAGACGGGCAGAAAACGAAGGGGAGATAGACTTCTTTTTTGATAAGAACTAAAAATCGGAATAATTTAATAATCTGAAAAAATATAAAATATAAAAAGCAAGAATGTTATTTTCTATTTTAATTTAATATTTAATTAAATTTATTTTTACTTATTTATTAGGAAACGCGGTAGCATCTCCCGCCAAGTATATTTATTTTTTTAGATATCTAATATTTTCTATTTTTGTTTTTATGCAAACGTATATTAAAAAATGCAAGAGAGTAGATCAATATATATTATATGTATATCATTAATAGCTGAAAATAGTTAGGTAATATCGGCGATCTCCTCATTTATTCAGCATCACCAGTCCATCCAGAGAGAAGCATGATCGAGAGCGGTCATTTCGACTTTTTACGTGGGACCGTCAGAATTCTGTCATACAGAATAGCGCTATTACATTTACTTTTTTTCAGGATAGTATCTAGTTAAAAAGAGATTAAAGTTAAATTAAAAAGTTAAAAAATTAAATAATTTTAACATAACTTGGCAACATTTAAGACTCTTAACGGCTTTTAATTCCATCAAGGCAATTGTTATAATATGATAAATTTAGTCTGGCAGCCTGGAAGAAATCACTGTTCGCGGACCTTCTATGCATTAAATCATGTTGGAAGATGTTCTTCAAAATCGGTCCTCTTTCCACGGCTTGATAGAAAATAACTAAGTATAACAAATATACACTTTATTTAGAAATCCTAAAATTATAAAATAAAAAAATTTAATTTTTCAATTTCCAGGAAAAAAGTTCCATATATAATTATATATGTATAATTATATGCAAAATACGTCAGATAGGAAGAGCACACGTC